CCCCCCCCCCTAAAGAAAACATGGCCAGCTATCCAGCTCTGTCACGCACATTTTTCCTTCCTTCTAACCCGAACCCTCCCTTCTCTAGGATTCAAAGATGACCGGCATCGACCCGGCCACCCAGGTCGCCGTCGACAGCTCCGTCGGGGGCCAGACCGAGATCGACGAGTCGCTCTACAGCCGACAGCTCTACGTCCTTGGCCACGAGGCCATGAAGCGCATGAGCTCCTCCAACATCCTCGTCGTCGGCCTCAAGGGCCTCGGTGTCGAGATCGCCAAGAATATTGCCCTCGCCGGTGTCAAGAGCCTTAGCCTCTACGACCCCGCAAGCACCGAGCTGGCCGACCTCTCGTCCCAGTTCTTCCTGACGCCTGCCGATGTTGGCAAGCCCAGGGATGCCGTCACGGTCCCCCGCGTTGCCGAGCTCAACGCCTACGTTCCCGTCAAGCTCCACGAGTCTTCCAGGTGAGCAGGCTGACCCACACATGGAAAGCGGAATCTGGGTAAAAGAGCTATGGCTGACAAGTATCCTCAAAGCCTCGACGACAACGCCCAGTTTGACAAGTACCAGGTCGTCGTCCTGACCAACGTTCCCATCTACTACCAGCAGCGCATTGCCGACTACTGCCACGCCAAGGGAATCTTTGTTGTCATCGCCGATAGCTTCGGTCTGTTTGGTAGCATCTTCTGCGACTTTGGTGATGGTTTCACCTGCATCGATCCTACCGGAGAGACTCCCAACACTGGTATCCTTGCCGGCGTTGACGAGGATGGTATCGTGACCGTTCTGGACGAGTCGCGCCACGGCCTCGAAGACGGGGACTACGTCACATTCAGCGAGGTGGAAGGTATGGAGGCCCTGAACAAGTGCGAGCCGAGAAAGGTTACCGTCAAGGGTCCTTACACCTTCTCCATCGGCGACGTGTCCGGTCTCGGCCAGTACCAGCGTGGCGGCATGTTCCAGCAGGTTAAGATGCCCAAGACTGTCAATTTCAAGACCTTCACCGAGGCCCTGAAGAGCCCTGAGTTTGTCGTCTCCGACTTTGCCAAGTTTGACCGCCCCCAGCAGCTCCACCTCGGTTTCCAGGCCCTCCACGCTTTCCAGGTCTCCAAGGGCCGCCTGCCCAACCCCCTGGACGAGGACGATGCTACTATTGTGCTGGAGGCCGCCAAGAAGTTTGCTAGGGACGAGGGCGTCGAGGTTGAGTTCGACGCCAAGCTCATCAAGGAGCTCAGCTACCAGGCCAAGGGTGACCTGAGCCCCGTGGCCGCCTTCCTTGGTGGCCTGGCTGCTCAGGAGGTCCTGAAGGCTGTTTCTGGAAAGTTCCACCCCATCAACCAGTGGCTTTACTTTGACTCTCTGGAGTCTATCCCCACCAGCGTCCCTAGGACCCGCGAGCTCTGCCAGCCTATCGGCAGCCGTTACGACGGCCAGATTGCCGTCTTCGGCACGGAATTCCAGAAGAAGATTGCCAACGTGAAGCAATTCCTCGTCGGAGCCGGCGCCATCGGCTGTGAGATGCTCAAGAATTGGGCTCTCATGGGCCTAGGAACCGGCCCGGAGGGTAAGATATGGGTCACCGACATGGACTCTATCGAGAAGAGCAACCTGAACAGGCAGTTCCTCTTCCGTGCCGCCGACGTTGGCCACATGAAGAGCGATTGTGCCGCCAAGGCCGTGCAGCGCATGAACCCGGAGCTTGAGGGACACTTCGAGACCCTCAAGGAGAGGGTCAGCCCCGACACGGAGCATGTCTTCAACGAAGAATTCTGGCAGAACCTGGACGGCGTAACCAACGCGCTGGACAACGTCGAGGCTCGCGAGTACGTCGACCGCCGCTGCATCCTGTTCCGCAAGCCACTCCTCGAGAGCGGTACCCTGGGAACCAAGGGCAACACGCAGGTGGTTCTGCCTCTCATCACCGAGTCGTACTCGTCGACGCGGGACCCCCCCGAGAAGGACTTCCCGATGTGCACTATCCGAAGCTTCCCCAACCGCATCGAGCACACGATTGCCTGGTCCAAGGAGTACATGTTCGAGAAGGCCTTTGTCAAGGCTCCCCAGACAGTCAACATGTACCTGACGCAGCCCAAGTACCTGCAGAATACTCTGAAGCAGCCCGGAAATCACAAGGAGACCCTGGAGACGATCCGAAACTTCCTCACGACAGACCGCCCGCGTACCTTTGAGGATTGTATCGCGTGGGCTCGTCTGCAGTTTGAGACGGAGTTTACCAACAAGATCCAGCAGCTCCTGTACACCTTCCCCAAGGACAGCACGACCTCGACCGGTACCCTGTTCTGGTCCGGACCCAAGCGCGCCCCCGACCCTCTCAAGTTTGACACCAACAACCCGACGCACCTGGGCTTCATCATCGCGGCAGCCAACCTGCACGCTTTCAACTTTGGTATCAAGCCCCCGACAAACGACAAGTCGTACTATATCAAGGAGCTGGCCGACGTCATCGTCCCCGACTTCGTGCCGTCGTCGAGCGTCAAGATTCAGACTGACGACAAGGAGGTAAGCAATCTGCTCGGTACGAGCTGACGGTGAAGACATGCTTGCTCACGGTGATTAAAACAGGCCCCCAGCACTGCCGATGACGACAACAACGAGCTGGACCGTATCGTCGCCGCCATTCCCGACCGTACGACGCTGGCAGGATTTGAGCTGACGCCCGTCGACTTTGAGAAGGACGACGACAGCAACCACCACATCGACTTCATCACGTGCTGCAGCAACCTCCGTGCCGAGAACTACAAGATTGAGCCGGCCGACCGTCACAAGACCAAGTTCATCGCCGGAAAGATCATCCCGGCGATTGCCACGACGACGGCGCTGGTGACCGGACTCGTGACGCTGGAGCTGTACAAGGTGATTGACGGCAAGGACGACATTGAGCAGTACAAGAACGGTTTTGTGAATCTGGCACTGCCGTTCATCGGGTTCAGCGAGCCCATTGCCAGCGGCAAGATCGAGTACAAGGGCGCGGATGGCAAGACGCTGAAGCTGGACCGGGTGTGGGACCGTTTCGAGATTGACGACATGACGCTGGACCAGGTGATTGCCGATTTTGAGAAGAAGGGGCTCACCCTGACGGGACTCATATCGGGAGTTGCGCTTCTGTACCCGCCCGTGTCTTTTAACAAGGAGGCGCGGGAGAAGACGGAGAAGGCGCGCAGGGCGATGAAGCTGAGTGAGCTTGTGCGGTCGGTGACGAAGAAGGAGATTCCGTCGCACCAGAAGGAGCTGGCGTTTGACATTACTGCCTCGGACGCGACGGGAGAGGACATCGAGGACATTCCTTTCCTGAAGGTCAGGCTGTAGTGGATCAAGGAAGAGGAACGATTGTTAGAAGAGTTTGCTGATGGTGTATGAGACCGAGTTTATAAAGTCCCCCACAACAATTGTGTCTGCTAGAATGAGTCAAATGAATATTCACATGTAACTACGGAGTGCTCAGTCGTGCAAAATCAATAGTAGGGGTATGATAACAAGACGGGTGAGAGAGGGAAGAAATCGTAGAAAAACAAGGATGAGCAGAAGGAGAGAAGGGGGGGGGGGTTAGAAATGAAAGATAGAAGATAAGGAAGAAAAAAAAAGAAAAGGAAACCGATTGTGATCGGTTGGCGGATCTCTCCCGCCGGGAATTGAACCCGGGTCTCGAGCGTGACAAGCTCGCATACTGACCACTATACTACGGAAGATGTTTGGCTGTTTAAAGCAGCCAAAGTAGTGAGGTGTGAGTGAGGACGTGATGATTGACACTATGTGCTATCCATGCTTTTTTTCCCCCATCCCCTTCTCCTCGCTGTTTTTTTCTTCTTTTCCCTTCGTCTTCTTCCGTTTTCCATCATCCGTCTTCTTCTTCTTCTTCTTTCTTTCCGAGTAAGGATAATACGTCTCGTCACCTATAAAATTACCAAGTTTTAATAGATCTATAAAGCATATTTCCCGTCGCATCGTGGATATGGAATACTAATATTACATATAATAACACGGTTGTCCCGTGTGTGGTTACGTCAGTATTATACAATCGGCACTAGCTAGGATTTGGCGGGTTCTTTTACAAAGCGCCCCCTCATTGCTTACCAGAGTATTAGAAGGGTAGCAGTCGTAACTTGCGTCGGACTGGTGATGTGATTTGTGGTCATCGGACATTGCTATGACCGCTGGCTACTACCTGTAGCTGTAGCAGTAGTATTAAAACGGAGTGACTTCCTCTCCATCTACTCTCTCTCTCATCATCGTTGCTATCCACCTGCTCCTCATAACCAACACACCCCGCATGCGTCCTGCTGCTCAGACAGTCAAGAGGATCTGTCATCGTACCATATTGCCCTCGTCTCAAGCCACCCTCATACCTCGCATTACAGGGCTGAAGCAGCAGCAAGTTAGAATGGTACGTCTTACCGCGGTTCTCTCTCGAATCGGATCATGCAAAGCAAAGACTGCCGAGAGGACGAAGCTGACGTGGGGAACGAGCAGGCCAGCATTACAGATTGGGTCAGCCGGGCCGACAAGTCGGGCGAGTTCAAGAGGCAGGTCAGCTCGTTTCGGGACAGCATCTCGCGCGAGGCCGGGGCCAAGTATCCGCCTGAAAAGGGGCGGTACCATCTCTACGTCAGCTATGCCTGTCCATGGGTATGTTCAGAGCTCGCCCCGTGTGATTCGGTTACCCCCCCACCTCCCCCGCGCGCCCGTTCTGACATACCGTCTAGGCACACCGCACGCTGATCGCGCGCAAGCTCAAGGGTCTGGAGGAGTACATCTCCTTCTCGTCGGTGCACTGGAAGCTGGGCGAGGGGGGATGGCGGTTCGTGACGCCGGACGAGGTGACGAGGGGGGAGGCACCGCCGGGGGAGAACGTGGTGCCCGATCCGGTCGAGGGCCACGCGGCGTCGTCGTTCACGCACCTCCGACACGTGTACTTTGAGTCGGAGCCGGAGTACGCGGCGCGGTTCACGGTACCGGTGCTGTACGACAAGAAGACGCGGCGGATCGTGAGCAACGAGAGCAGCGAGATCCTGCGGATGCTGGGCAGCGAGTTCGACGACGTGCTGGACGAGCAGCACGGCAAGGGGATCGACCTGTACCCGGAGAGCCTGAGGTCGGCCATCGACGAGGCCAACGCCTGGATGTACGACCTGATCAACAACGGCGTGTACAAGTCCGGCTTCGCCACGACGGCCGAAGCGTACGAGCGCAACGTCGTCTCCCTCTTCCAGGCGCTCGACAGGGCAGAGAAGCACCTCGCCGACAACGACAGCGGCGGCAGCGGTCCGTACTACTTTGGCAGCACGCTCACGGAGGTCGACATCAGGCTGTACGTCACCATCGTGCGCTTCGACCCGGCCTACGTCCAGCACTTCAAGTGCAACATCAGGGACATCCGCTCCGGCTACCCGAACCTGCACAGGTGGCTCAGGCACCTCTACTGGACCGTCCCGGCCTTCGGGGACACCACCCAGTTCGACCACATCAAGTGGCACTACACCAGGAGCCACACGCAGATCAACCCGCTGAGCATAACGCCGCTCGGGCCTCTGCCGCATATCCTGCCTTTGGATGACGAGGTGGCTGCGGTCGGCGAGGTCAAGAAGTAAGGCCTCTCCTGTCGGGCGGGGGGACGATGATGGCGGCGTCATTACGAGTGAGATTATCTGTGGTGGGACCCCCGGGGGGGGGAGGGGGGGGTATGTCTGTACGGGACATGCACTTGTGTGCTATCCAGGAGTATCATGTTTGAGGAGGATGAGCATTGAAACGTTGAAACGAAGAGGGATGGAAAGACAATGGTGATGGACGAAGCTGGGGGGGGGTCAGTGTAATACAGGTAATATCTTAGGGGCAGAGTGCCAAAAAATGCGAGTACTCTACAGTGGACAGCAGCGGGACAGCGCATCAGACAGCGCGCATCAGTGCGCTAAGCTCCCCTAACCCTTGTCACGGTGGGAAGGCCCTCAGCTAGGAGCCGGCCCCTTGCTTCGAAGCCCAGAGGCTCCAGCGCTACAGTAATCTGCTCCCTAAAAGGGAGCCTGACAAGGCACTTCCCGGCTCTCTGCTCGCCACTGCTGCTCTGCTGTCCTCAGCTCTCTGATCTGTAATCTGTACTTGTACAGGTAACAGCAATAGTACAACATTACTCTCTCTTTTCCCTGCTACTGCTACCGCCAGTCTCTCATCTCCCTCGACGCACCATCATCATCGCCATCTTCATCCTATCCATCATCCACCTTATCCAGAACGAATGAGAAACGCAAGAGAGATATCTGAAACGAAGAAGAAAGAACGAGAGAAAGAAGACAAAAGACAAAACAAGAGAGAATCACCTCAAGTATCAACTGAACCGCCTTGTTGTCAGCCAGATCATCAACCCTAACCGACTCTTCCTTCTCTATCGAGCACATCGCCACCGACAGACAATCAATAATATATCACTCTCGGCCATCTCCCTCTCATCCTCTCACGGAACGACACTAGCGGGACAAGGCCGCGCCCCAATCAGACCGACCTCCTCATTCTACTCCTACTCCTCTCTCTCTCCCTCTCTCCTGCCCTCTTCCTTTTAATTCTCTCCCTCACAATCACAACCTCATCCTTCCCCCGCTCTGCAAAAAAAAAAAAAAGAAAAGAAAAAAACAACTTCCTCGACAACGACGATTGAAAAAATCACAATCCACCAATTCTGGTCCAAACTCGCACACGACAATTTTTTTTTTTTAGAAAAAAAAAACCATTCCCGAAATCTGTCCTTATTTCACCATCACCCGACCGCTTGAGCCCCATCTCTCTACTACGTACCTATCTGCGCGACACGACGACCGTTACGGTGACAGGGCGGTAGCAGATGCGCAACGCGCATTAATAACCACCCTGCCATGGCCAAACGATACACTGCAGAGTTTCTCCTCCATCTAAGGGATTCTCCGCTATGCGTCAAACCTGATAACCTACCGCCCACCGAGGAATGGATGGGGTATGTTGAACCCGCACAATACATGCCTTCTCAACCGCTCTCCCCCTCACTTGCCGAGTCCCAGGCTCACTGACTCGATTTCTCTCTCATCAAACAAACAGCCCTCCTCCCGAACCTCAACAACGAACTCAGCATCAACAGACTCGCTCTGGTCAAGCCTCTACCTTTGGCGTCTTTGAAAAGCCTCGTTCTGGCGATAACGGTCTGCTCGATCAGTCGAATAGACGCCCCGATTTCAACCGCCATGCCTCCAAGACCAGTGCCACCAGTCCGTCTTTGTCTTCTTCAGTCATCCGCAGAGGAGCACGAGTAGTGGAAACGAGATGTCGCTAACGCACGAACAGATGCTGAAGAACTCATGTTCGGTCCCTCCCGAACCGCATTCTCCTCGTCTGGTCGGACCAAGGGACTGGATACCGACAAGAACCCCCGAGACCCCGAAGCCGTCGGACGCTTCAACAATATCCGCACCAGCGACGGCGACCGTTTCCGCGAGAGCAGGAACGCACTGCCCCTGCGCCGCCGCCCTGACGGCCCCGACCAGGACGGCGAGGGCTGGAGCACAGTCAAGCCCCGCAAGAGTTTCGGCGCAGAGGGCGCCGAGCGCTTCCACGGTCGCATGGGCGGCAACTTCAGGGAGGACAAGAAGCAGCCCATCCGCGAAAAGGACGACCGTCCGCCTCGCACCTTTGACGGACTGTCCAAGGACAAGGACATTGACGAGAACGGTCGCCCGCGCACCGTAACAGGAGCCAAGGGCGTCAAGCCCGACGCCTGGCAGGAAGGGAAACCGCCCGTAGAGGGACGCGGCACCGATAAGCGCGAACGCATCGACCGGGCCAAGAACTGGAGGGAGCGCGACCCAGCTGCCGATGCCGCTGCCGACGACGAACTCGCCGGTGGTCGATCCCACGACAATACCGGGCGGTGGGGTCGCGACGGCCAGCGTGGCTCCCGCGACCCCGAATGGTTCGACGAACCCGCTCCGCGAAAGGCCGAGCCGCGCACCCAGCAGGATTTCCAGAAGTGGATGGAGGAAATGAAGAAGTCCAAGGGTGGCGGCGCGCCCCTCGCCGAACCCGTCTCGCCGCCTCCCGCCGACCCGGCTATCGAGTCGGTCAAGCTGCACACCCGGTCACCACCCTCGGTCCCCGCGGGACCCGACAAGTTCTTCATGGCCTTTGGCGGAACCAGCAGCGCCATGGAGACGCCAGCGGCTGAGCAGCCCGACCCGGCCACCGTCTCCAAGTCCAAGCCCGCCGGCAAGTCGTCTCGGTTCACATCCTTCTTCCAGAGCCACGACGGCGCCAAGATGGGCGCACCTGCTACACCGTCGCAGACGGCGCAGGCTGCACCCCCTCCAGCCTCGGCACCGCCACCCCAGGACAGCAACGCCGGTCTCGGAGGCCTGCTGGGGGCCCTCGGCTCGCCCGGCGCCAACACCAACGCCCCCGACTCCGAGAGGCAGGCCTTCCAGCAGCTCCTGGCCAAGCTGCAGAAGCAGACCAAGAGCGCCACGCCCCCTGGTCCGGGACCTTTCCCGGCCCCGGGCGCTGCGCAGCCCATGGCCGGGATGGAATACGGCCAGCAGAACGTCGGCCCTCCCGGCCCTCCTCCCTACTCCCACCTCCAGGCCGGCCTCGACGGACCCATGGAAGCCCGACCACCCCCCCAGCACGCGCAGGAGATTCTCGCCCCGCGCCCGCAGCAGCAGTCGGCCCGGCCGGAGCAGCTCCTGCAGGACCTGGCGGGACGCCACCAGCGCGTATCGAGCGAAGGATCGGCTCACGACGAGAACGGCACACCTCACCCGAACGCCAACCCAGCCCGCAACAACAGCAACACCGAGTTCCTGATGAACCTGATGCGGGCGGCGCCGGATGGCCAGCACCGCACCGAGTCGGCCATGCTGCGGGCGGCGCACCAGGCCCAAGCCCAAGCCCACATGGGACCCCACCCGCCCCCGCCCCACCAAGACCGCGATCTCGACTTCTCGCCGCACGACGGCCGACAGCAGCAGCGGCACATGCGTCCCCCTCCGCCGCCCGGATTCCCCATGGACGAGAACGACTTCCGCCCCATGCCCGGGCAGAACCCCCAGCAGCAGCAGCAGCAGCAGCAGCAGCAGCAGCAGCAGCAACCCACGCAGATCCTCCAGCGGCCCCCGCCGCCGCCAGGCCTAGATCAGATACCACCAGGCTGGATGACGGGCGCGGGCGGACCGATGGCTCCTCCCCTCCCCCTCCCCCAGCAGCAACACCAACAGCAGTCCAAGCAGGCGCAGGCGCAGCAGCAGCGCGTACCGCCATCTATGATGCCCCCACCAGGCCTACCAGGCGGCGTTGGCATCCACTCCCTAGGCCGCAACGCCGGCATCCCGCCAAACCTCAACATGCCCCCCATGTTCCCGCCCAACATGCCGCCCATGCCCCCTCACCCGGACGCAATGGGCTCCATGGGTCCTCCGCGCAACATGGGTCCCGTACCGCCCGGCTTCTTCAACGGTCCGCCACCTCCCCCCCACGCCTTCATGAGCTTCAACGGCCCCCCACCACACGTCGGACCTCACGTCGGTCTCGGCCCGCCACCTGTAGGTCCCCCCGGCGGTCCGGACATGGGTTTCGTCCCCTCCCCCTTTGACGGTAGGGGTATCCCCCAGCCTCCTAGGGGGTATAGGTGAATTTCTTTTTCTGGCCCCCTCTCATATGTAACACGGATCGCACGATGAATGTGATTTGGTCTTTTCTTTTTTTTCCTATACAAAAAAAAAATGAAAAGAAGTCGGACATTCTGAGGGAGAGGGGGGGGGGGGGATGAGAGAGGGGTTTCAGGTCTAGCTTTTAACGTGTATAGTACTACATATCACTTTCTGTACTTGACCATTCTACTTGTTTCTCCTACCAGCATTGGACTTGGATNCCCTCTCATATGTAACACGGATCGCACGATGAATGTGATTTGGTCTTTTCTTTTTTTTCCTATACAAAAAAAAAATGAAAAGAAGTCGGACATTCGGGGGGGGGGGGGGGGGGGGGGATGAGAGAGTGGTTTCAGGTCTAGCTTTTAACGTGTATAGTACTACATATCACTTTCTGTACTTGACCATTCTACTTGTTTCTCCTACCAGCATTGGACTTGGATCATGGGCAATACTTCTACATTGTTTTGCAGTGTACTTTGTAATACTAGTACTACTGCATGATTGGGCAACATCTACGTGTGTGTGAAAGTACGAAGATACACATGTATTGAATAATCCAGACACTCAATAGATACTCACATGATGATGCTCTGCACATCCGATTGATACTGGGGGGGGGGGGGGAAGAAAAAAACCCTTCAATGCCACGCTAATCTATTTTTTTTTCCGACGTTATTACTACACTGTCCTATGAGCCACCGAAGTCCTAGCTGCCACCACTGCCTCCCTCAAAGACATTCCCGTCATGGGAGGAACAGACACACCGCTCGACCGGACATTCTACTTCTTCATGCCGAGAAAGTTGCGTCTCTTCTTCTCCTTGTGCAGCTTGCCCTCGTCCGTCCGCGAGTTCTGGCTGCTGGCAGTGCTCGGCTGCTGCTGGTGCGACGGATGAGACGGGTGTCCCCCGCCGTTGCTACCGAGGCTCATGTTGCCCATCTGCTGCGTCGGAGGGGGGGCCATTCTGCCTGACGAGGGTGCCGCTTGGCTGCTGCCGCCGCGCGAGGGTGGAGGGCGCTGGTGGGGGCTCGGACCGCCCATGCGCTGCTGCGGTTGGGAGGGTAGGCCTGCTCCGCCCATCGGTTGGCCTGGCCTGGGTCCTTGTCCCGGTCCGGGTCCCGACGGGAGCTGCTGCGGCGGCGGTTTCGGTCGTTCGAAGAGGTGCGCCGGAGCGCGCTGGCGCGGTCGATCCACTGGTAGGTCCAGCTGCCGGCGGGACCGGCACAGGTCGCTCAGCTGCCGCACGTAGAGCTGGGGCGTGATCATGTGCGACGTGATCAGGACGATGTCGCGGTTGCGCTCTGCGCCCACCTCGTAGCACGTCCGGGACTCGCTGTGCGTCGCGCCGCCCGCCATGAAGACAAAGATGCGGTGCCGGTTCTCGGGTGCGCGCCGCCCGGCCGCCGCCCAGTTGGGCCGTCCTGCTCGGAGAGAGCCGCCCTGGGCTAGGAGGAGATCCTCGTTGGGGTCCAGAGGCGGCTTGACGTACGGGAAGTCCGTCTGGTCAAGACTGCCGCGCGTCAGGGTGTCGAGGAGGGGTTTCAGCGTCGGGTCGAACCGCGACAGGCTGTTGACCTCCTCGTCTGGCTGCACCGCCTTGGGGTCCTTGGGGAAGAGAACGTGCCGCGGCTGCTTGACGTCCTTGACATTCTGCCGTATCGCCCGCGCGCCCAGCATCTCCAGCCCTTGCAGAGCGTCGCCGTCCTGCTGCGGCAGCCCGGCGTGCGCGAGCAGTCGCTTGACATCTTCCATGATGACGCCCTCGCGGTACAGGGCGAATAGGATGATGAGACGCAGCCTGTCTGGGGGAGTCGTCGTCGGCTCATCGAGGAGCCGCACCACTTCGTCCAAAACGTTCTTCGGCTTCCTGTTGTCTTCATCGAGACCCGTGGCCATGGTCTGCTCCGACATGGCAATATCCGGCAGATTATGCTGGCTAAAGATGGTGGTGCACTCTTGGGCCATGGACAGGTGCAGAGAGTAGGCGTCCCTCATCTCCTGGAACTGCGGTAAGCCCGAGAGCATGTCACGGATCGTGTTGAGGTTGGTCGTCTCGGTGTCCTCGTTGGCAAAGTGTGGGTTCTGCTGGATGAACTTGCGAATATCGTCCTGCAGCTTCGTCACCATGTCCTTCATGTGCTGGTGTCGGTTATCGACCCAGAGCTTGTCCCGGTCGCTGAGCTCCATGTTCTTCTCCTCCTCGTCATCGGTCCCCTTGTTGATGACGGTCGTGTATGTGATCTTGTCACCCTCCTTGATGGGCAGCAGGTCGTGCGCCATCGCCTGGTAGGTGAACTCGTGGACCAGAGGGGCCACCGGGTCCATGGAGCGGTCGGTAATGACCAGCGTCGCCTGCGGCCGGGTCGTGGCTGGTGGGAAGTCGGCGTTCCACTGGGCGTACATGTCGAGCTCCTGCTGCACAAAGTTGGCCAGGTGCGTGCACAGCACGGCGGCGTCCCACGTGGGATCCCTGGGCTTGTAGTACCGGACTTTGGGGTACTCGCCCAGTGTTATGCAGACACCGGCAATCTTGAGAAGCATGCCGATCAGCTACCGTCCCTTCTCATCGTCTTCTCATCGCTCTCCCACAACCAAGCCTTACCTTCTGTGCCATCGTCTTCAGATGAGCGGCGACGAGCGAGTCGCATTCGCGGTGATACAGAGACGGGAAGCTCCACGGGTCGCGAAAGGTGACAACGTGAGATTCCCGCGGGTAAAAGTCGATGAAGAGCGTCTTTGTGCTGGCGCGAAAGCTGCGCACGCCAGGGAAGTCATCAATCTTGCGGCGCAGATCGGCCTTGATCAGGGTGGTCCAGACCAGGTAGGCGGAGCGGTAACGGCGGGCCTCGAAGTCGGCGAGGAGGCAGTCGACAATGTGCGGTTCGGGAGAGAGTATATAGATGGCATCCATGTCGGGGTTTCGCTCACGCCGGTCCTCGATGCGCTCGATTGCTAGCCGCCTGCTGTCAGCCCCCGCTCTCCTCCCGTTTCCACACCGGGACTCTCAGGACGTACTGGCGATGTTGTTGTTGAGAATGTCATCCTCCTTGACGGCGTTGTCGATGATCTTCTTTGAGGTGCTGTCGACGACGAGACATTTCCACTGCACACATACAACTTGTCAGTACCCCCGTACGGAGGTGCTCAGGATGCGGGGGTGATATCGGCAGGTCTTACGTCGCCTTGTGTGATGTTTTTGATCTCTTGGAGAATGGCTGAATTCGGCACTCCGTCAGCATTGCCCACATCCGAGGCTCACTATAGTTTCCTGGAGAGTATGTCCTACCTTCGCCCTGTTCGTGGATGACAGACAGCCCCATGGTGGCCAACTTCGGAGCTCTGGGGCCCCAAACCTACGCCAGTCCAGCCGTCGTAGTGCCGAAGAGCAAATTGTTGGCCGTACGCACAGCAGGACCGGCAGTGGGACAGCAGGTGCCCGAGAGAGATAGGACACGGTGAGTATTGAACAAGGCTCTCCCTGGGAGGAGCAAGGGTGAGAGTATATGTTAATTTAGGAGAGAGGAGAGGAGGGGGACGGGGGAAGCGACAATGAGGCTTTGCCGACAAGCAGGAGAAGTGGGAAATGGGAGCTCTTCGGGAGTTTGTCTGACGGTAGAATGGCGGGGTTAACGCATGACTTCCAGGGAACAGCGATTAGGGGGGGCTTGGGAGTTCTTCAGGTGGTTCCTCGGGGGGTCCTTTAGGGGGTTTGGGGGACTGCTGCAGGGGTCGAGCTTCCTTCTGATACGCATAGACGGGATACCAGACACCGGAGAGCCAAGACAACGCAACGCAGTACGGGTATTTTAAGAGGCTAGAGGTTACGGAACATGAGAGAATGCATGTATCCGTAGCTAGGCGTCTCCGTCTTCGAAGCCTGCAGCGGTCACTCTTGGCGTGGCCAGACAGACATGGCCATGTGGGTGAGCTTGATCATACATGCGGACATGCCGATTGCATGCAGCACCGAGCTGCTGAGAGAGAGATGCCTTGGGCGACTCTGATGGCTGCTGCTGCTACCGTCTCCCCTACTACAAGTTACGGCATACGTAGATCGGTCGCTCCTTCCGTTGTTGTTATTCGCACATGTATTAGTAATTGATACCGATACCGCTTGCTCTCAATGAATACTGTCAATGAACTGCCACTATCACGGCTGTTGCTGTGATGACACCCCTCCCTCTCCCATCGCATCTTGGTATTATCACTATTATTACTGCTCGCAATTCTTCATCTGACGGTATCGTCTCAAAAACCCTCAGGGCCAACGCCAACTGACCACCCCATCGTCATGCAAGGCTACTGCACTGGAGAGTTGGACCAGGCAGACGACTAACAATCAAAGCATACGAGTACGACACCTCTCACAACTCAACAATCATCGACAGCCAAGAAACTCAGGCCATCCACGCCCAGATCAGTGCAGCGAGTAGGCCAGCCATGGGTGTCCACCACAGTTCAAGCGTGAGCCTGTCCCTCAGCCATGATCGCCACCCGCCCTCTCGTTTCCCATGGGTGCAGGTAGCCGTGCCATAGACGAGACATCCGAGTCCCGGTCTAGAATCGCACTCCATATGCTCTCTTCTCCGCTGCATCAAGAGTCTTTCCCATCACCGACGTCAGCCAAGGCGAATACGCAAACGGGACGGATGCACTGACGGAACACTGCCGCGGCAGAAGCGGAGGTCGCTGCCCAGAGCGCACCGATGGTTGCTGGGGCACTCGAGGTGCAGACTCCGACGTTGCAGCAGCCACTCAATCTTGAGCTCGAAGTCCGTATCGACGAGGCTGTAAAAGTGGCGGTTCGTATGCTTGAGCGACAGGGCGTCCGGGTAGGTCAGAAAGTCGGAAATGGCCACGTGCATTTCCGGTGGTAGATGCATCAAGCTCAGTGACTGCGCAGCTTCCGGGGCTGCCGTCGCCGCCTTGTTCCCGATGGAATCGTCGTCGTCATGGTTGGTGGTGGGACCTGGAGAGGTCACGTCTCGTCGACGATGTCCGAGGCCCAGGGGCGAGGTCATGGCTACGACGACATGCACTGAGGAAGAAGAGACATTGCTCCGGGGCTGGCTCCTCTCTCCTTATGGCTACCTGTCTGATGAGGAAGGGTGATGGCTAGAGATGCAAGACGGGGCAGAGAGGAGGAGATTGTGCCGCTTCGCCGGGAAGGGGGACGGTGACTGACAATCCTCTTACCCCCCCCATCGATACAAGTATTCTGTACATGTGGTCGTAAGCCGCAGATCACAGCCACCGAACTACAGAGGCCGTGGACCAATGATGCACGTAGCATCGTGCTCAAGTCCGTCACCGTGCTTCCCTGTTCGTCCTCGTAGTCTTCAACCTGAAACTGCACCAATGCATCCATCGACAAGTCGGACGGCGCTGCTGATTCCTACGTGAGAAGTGCGTGTATCTCTCCGCTATCGACAGCGGCAGTATACCGTCACCACGGCTCAGATTTCGCACGGTAACAAACAGATAGACTGGCACTCTCGTACTGGGACCAGACGACAGTCCCAACCGATCCGCTCGTACATCTTGCTGCAGGCAAGTAGCTTGAGGGAGCAAGTCAGGTCGAAGCGATGAGGAAAGAAGGATCCCCGTGTAGCTAAGGTTATATGAGATCCCAAGTCTGATCCTCCTTGATCCTCTCTTACTTTATCTCGATCGTCGACAATCAGCCTCAGCCACCCGAGGCATAGAGGTCTGCCATCTCCCAATCATGTAAGCAGCTGCAACGGCAGCTGTTTGTTTTGGAATATCCACCATGGTCATCCAATGGGACAAACTCTGCTTGCATGACCTCGCTGCTGTGCAGCCGATTTTCATTCGTCTCTCAACTTTTCATGCTGATAATCATACTGTTTGGGCCGCTGAACTCTCTTTCGGCTGTTGGCGCTAGAAGCCGTCGCGGTGAATAGTCCTCCTACGAGTGTTTGCCAGTGACGGCAGCGGTGCATCAAGTCGGCCACTCAAACACGCTGCGAGGCCGCCATGAGACGCAGATATGAACAATACAAATAGTACTGCTTCCCCTCTTCAGATGGGTTCCCCCCTTTCCTGGTCGTTTCCCCTCTCTCTCATCTTTATATTTGTCTTGTGCGTCGGCCCCGGCCATTAGGCTTTACCGTAACCTCATCCCTACAGCACGAACCGCTTCATAACTTCAGCATACAAATACCGTCGATGCTTTAGAGCTAGCTAGCGAGGGGTGAAGTCGTCCAGAGACTACCGCTGGCTGAAGAAAAGTAAAAGAATGGTATGTGCAGTGTACAAGATATGCGAGACCATAGAGTGAGATGGGCCGACTGACACAAGCGCAGGCTGCCAACAATGAGCCGTCGAGGGGAGCTCGACTTGCAACGGGTGTTATATCCGCCAGCCTCTTCGCAGTCGCAACTCCAGTAATCATGCCCTTGGCCCTCGGCGCTGTAGGTTTCACATCGGGGGGGGGTCGCGGCAGGTTAGTATCCAGACATACTGGCTCAACCAGGCCTTTCGAGAGTATCACGTGCTACACGTAGGTACTTGTCGGTCTTTGGCTAAGCAGATCAATTACACAGGGTCGGCCGCCGCCGCCATCCATAGCACATTGGGAAACGTCGCCGCAGGCAGTCTGTTTGCGACCCTGCAGAGCGCTGGGGCCGGCGGCGCTGCCGCTGCCGTCGTGAATAGTGTTGTTCAACTATGTGGAGGCGTTGCAGTCGGTGCTGCGGTAGCAAGTGGAAGAGCCGACAGGGAGGGAGGCAAAGAAGAGGGTGAGAACGAAGACGAGGGAGGCAAAGAAGAGGATGAGAACGAAGACGAGGGAGGCAAAGAAGAGGATGAGAACGAAGACGAGGGAGATGTCAGTGCGCAGCTGTAGGAGTTTTCCCCGGGTACCAAGGATATCGGCAGCAGCAGCATGCACGGAGCGGGACGAGTAGGCAACCATGAGTGTGTTGTGAGGAGGCAACATCAATGACGACGAATAACGGACCGAGAAAACAAGGCTCTCCCTGATGACATCCAGTGTTGGGCCGAACCGCTGCGCCACTAAGCAAAACTTTAGGCCCGATTGCTCAGGTGGCTGTAACAGCCAGTCATACTCTCATACAGTCTGACATCCAGTGTCAGACGGAGCGACGGAATAATATCGGTAAAATGCTCGTCTGAGTTACCGGATCGGAAGAAGAAAGATCCGGTGGATTGGATTGGGTAAGGATATCAAACAGATCACATTTATATGTGTAGGAATTTGGGGTAATTTAGTGTTATTCTGATGTTGTTGATGATGATAGATTCCATAGGTAAAAAGTGACTGTAAACGTGGTGGTCTCTTCATCCATCAGACCTGTTGTTCGGGTCGGAACAACCTGTTCCGGATGATGACTCAGCTGCTTATTCCAACATCCAGACACATCACGTGATATCGTGCCGCTCTCGCGCCTTGAACGTAACACCTCACACGCTGCTGGAAAGAGCAAGGAATATCTTCGATACCATCCTCTCTCCTGCCAGGACGCCATGCAGCACGACAGGAGCGGCAGTCATGGCCGCACCGCCCTCCCAAGATAGCGATACCGAATTCGGCTACGACTTTTCTCCCGAAGATGAAGAGGCCCTCATCCAACTCGTCTCGCCCACCGTCGTCAAGTCTCGCCGTCCACTGGTTGACAGCGTCGCTACCGACACTCACATTGCGGACGATGGCTCCGTGACTACAGCCAGAGGCTACTACGTGCAGCACAGTATAGACAACCGTGCGCCGACCGATGGTGACCCTCCCTTCCCCGCTGGCGGGGCGCCTGCATCTCCAGTGTCGCTCGGCGATGACGTCGTCCAGTACCCCGATTGTACGTCACTTGATAATACTATCCGCACGCGGCACCGTGACTCAGGCTAAATTATTCGGAAGCTTTTAGTGAGCAGAGCACTCGAATTGGCCGAGGCTAGGCGCCAGAAGGACTCGGCACCGGTTGACAGGCGGAAGCACCATGACGGGCACCCCAAGGGCGATGGCAACCGCTCACCCTTGGAGAGGTTTCGCACGTACCCTAAGAAGCCGTTGACCGTCAGCGACCTCACGTCCGGCGCATGGTGCGAGCTTCAGTATGAATATACCCTCACACGTCTGCCCGGCGGTCGTCGTACACGCACGGCGGCCATGAGAGAGGGCTCCAAGGTCCACCGGAAGCTGGAGGACGAGGTGCACACGACGGTCAAGGTAGACATCATGACGAGGGAAGATGGCTTTGGCCTACGGCTGTGGAACCTGGTCCAGGGCCTACGGACCCTCCGCGACACAGGACTGACGCGCGAACTCGAGGTCTGGGGCATGGTGGACGGCAACGTGGTCAACGGCGTCATCGACGTCGTGAGCTACGAAAATCCCAACCCGCAGTTCGAGTCCGAGCTCGCGGTGGAGGGGTTTCGGATGCAGAGCGGGTCGAACCAGTCCGTCCTGTCCGACTACTTCCCTACTCAGAGCAGACGGGGCACCCCGGCCCGACGCAAGATATACCTGGGGGACGTAAAGACGCGTGGATCGCTGCGGCCCGTATCCAGCGCTGTGCTGCGGCCGGCCAAGATACAGCTGCTACTCTACCACAGCTTCCTCGGAGCCATGGCGGCCGGGGAGCTAGACTATACCAGCGTGGCAAGACGCTACGGCCTCGATGTCGACGAGCCCTTCTCCGACATCTTCCTGGCCGAGATCGGAGGCCTGCACGACGAGATGTTTTACGATGCCGACGACGACCGTGATGACGATCACGATCCCCCGCCGGGGAGCGGGAGCTCTCAGAACAGCGACGTGCCGCCGCCAAGCATCCTGTCCGGCACTCCGCAGCCAGGCCCAGACCTCCTCAGGTACAGGACCATCCGCGAGCTCCTGCGCCTTGTCTCGGACGAGGTCTGCCAAACATTCCCAGAGGGTCGAGACTCGCTCGGCTACATGCTGCGCATCCAGTACGTGCACCGCAACGACGGAAGCAAACTCGAATCCCACGACTTCCCCGTTTCCAAGATTGCGCTGGACGAATACCTAGCCAAGTACATGTCCTGGTGGCGCGGGGAGAGACCAGCAGTGGGAATATCTGACGTTGAGGAGGCATTCAAGTGCCGCACCTGCGAGTTTGCCGAGGGCTGCGAGTGGCGCGACGCTATGGATCGCGATCTCGTCAGCAAGGCGCGAGCCAAGATGCGAGCGAGAGGTTAGCCTCGCACACATGTGCACGTATATGCGCATACATCTTTTTTTTCTCGTGTAGGCTCGATGGCAGTCGGTCTGTACAGGTATCGATATCAATCATCACTACTAGTTTTGCAATGTGATGACGTATCGGCACCAATCGAAACCCGTCACCGGCAGACCTGCAGTCGATATCTGAGACAGACGACTCCCGTGCTCCCGTGCGGCTGGTAGGAATCCTTTCTGGATCAAGTACGGAATGCCGTGCCGTCTCCCATCCGAGGAGTCTAGGGAGTTTGCGCCAGCGTGAGCAAAGGAGCAAGATTAATTATAAGGTCTGCCGAGATGTCGCAGCCTGATACCGTCCTCTATCATCCCGGATTACGCCCAGAGCAGCATTCTTCCTCACGTCTCGTCCGGTGCCTAACACTCCCTTGGCATCTCTACATGGTGTCTTGCAAGGAAGATGAGTTGACTGGGCGCAATGATATAATCTATTTGGCAGTTGGGGCTCCTGGATGCCGATTCCATAGTGTTCAATGACAGTATATATATATGTGTGTGTGTGTGTGTGTATATCGTGAAGTGGCGATAGTAAGTCTTCACTTACTTCATCACCTCTTGGTCTTGCCCTCCTAGTTTCTTCTTCTCTTTCATCCTGAGAGTGTTACTGGGAAATCGGACATACGATAACGGCAATCGAGGCTTTTTTTGCCGTAGCAAAATCTGGGCGGAAGAAAACAAGCCACTCTGCCGCAGGTTGTCTTTGCGCATCCGCAATACCTGCTTCCAGTCACGACCAGACCATTCATCTAACAGCCAAGCCTTCCATTTTTTCAAGCCGAAACTTGGCACGAGGTCATTATCTGTCTATACGGCAAACGAGACAGACAAGCCAAGCTTCCACTTGTGCTGGCCACCATCTACCAGCCTCGTTCTAGATCTCCTAGCCGCAGGTAGCAGTGGGGAGGAACTCGTATCGGAATGGATGGGATGGGCTACAGAAGTGGGCATGTCTACCGTGATTCAACAACGTGATCTCTATGGATATTCCGAACTTTTGAAAGTAATGAATCTCAACGTGATCGACTGTGGTCTGTTCATCGACACGATGCTCTCAGAGGTATATGGGGGGGGAGCAAGAGGAGGGGAGACGATCCAAGTAGTACTTTCATCATATGGTTCTATAGGGATTTCACTTCATACGCAGTCTTGTTCTTGGAAAGAGATACGTCTTCATGCAACCCTCCATTCTTGTGAGGTCCTCTCTTGTCCTGGAGGGCCACTGCAGATTTGGGGAGTGTCGATGTCTCAAGAGATATATGAGACATGGTGTTTGATATCTGCACAGTTGATTGTTCCCTTTCCCGAGGTCTCGTTTCATAAAATGTTTTCAAGGGAAAGGCACAGGGCTCCATGTGAGCTCGATAGGAACCCGATCATGCCCCGTGCTTGCTGGTGGCTTGTAGATGCTTGACATGTCACGGAGCCTCGACATCGATGATACTCTTGTCGGAGTCCAGCCACAGGGTTTTAGGAAGGACATGTAATTCTGTCGATTGTGTCCTCTAGAGGGTATCCTCCCTGTGCACATGTACGTTTTGCAATTCTCCATCTTTCAAAATACGTGTCTTCTATGTGAAGGAATCAAACTGGTCATGAGTACAATCATAAGCCTGAGAATGGTTGACAGCTTGACAATTCATGCTAGATTCCAATATTTCATCCTCTCTTTCTTTTCCTTTCTTCTTTTTCTTTTCGACCAAGGTAAGAGCCAGTTTAGGATAATACATATGAGTGAAAGTGGAACATCCTACCCCAGTTAACGTATTGTGAGGGCTGGCATGGATCGTCCGAGAGACATTCTCACACAATACATTCCCCCTCCCGGCGCAGGAAAACTCCAAGATGTGGCTGGCCGACGACCACAGCCGAACCACTCCTAGATGGAGAATACATAAAGCACAGAGTGATAACCTTGCTCAATCTATTCTATCCTCCTCATCCTCATACACACATATCCTCCTGCCTCCAGTCCTGGTGACCGAACGCAGAACAGTCTTTCCTCTCCACCTTCAACCCAACCGACAGCAACCTCTCCTCTCACTCTTCACCATGAAGCTCTACACCGCATACATGGCCCTCCTGGCTACCGCCGCCACGGCCAACCCTGTTATCAAGCCCAAGCGCAGCGGCGTCACTCACACCGCGGCGACCCCTTCTTTCGCCGAGACGGCCACCGTCACCGTCACACAGTCCTCCGGCAGCACCGATACACCGGCGTCCCCGGAGCAGACCGTCACCGTCACCGTCACACAGGGGCCTGAGACGACCGAGGCGACCGAGACGACCGAGACGTCCTCGACTACTTCCCAAACTACGTCCAACTCGAAGACCCGCGAGGTCACACTCACCTACACTATTCCTGACACGCCTACCATCCCTCCTATCCCTGAGATTCCCGATATTCCCGATATTCCCGAGATCCCTGAAGTCCCCAAAGCCCCTAAAGTGCCAGAGATTCCCCCCATCCCCACCTGGTAAAGAGCTAGCGCCACATCGTGAAAATGAGAAGGAAGGATTGGAGTTGCAGAGGATCATGCTTTTGCAACATGGGGGATCGAGACCGTATACAGCTCCCGGTGAGCATGCGTGTTAACCCCCCCTCCCCCTACCCTCTCGGGAGAAGGACATAGGGGCTGGCTTATGAGTATCCTACTGTGTCCCGATTCACATCCTACATAGCAAATATACATCATCTCCTTCTTCTGCAATATCCTCGTGCTGTTCCAGGTCTACGTCATCTAATACACATACTCAAAGTTCGGATTCTCCTTGTCCGTCATGTCGGCGAAAGCCGTCGCGTTAGTCCGATCGGCCACGCTGCTCCCCTGCTCCCGGAGCGCAGCACGCCTCTTCCTCTTTCGCTTGTTCTCCCAGATGAACGAGTATCGGAGGGTGAAGAGGACGATGACCTCGAGGATGTTGGCGGCCAGGAGGGACCCGATGCCCATTCGGTAGCTGGGAGCCTGAGAGGTCAGGTAAAAGAAGGGCCCGACAATGTTTCCGACGCAGGCACCGAACCAGATCATGCCCGAGACAATCATCTTCTTCGACTGACCTCCCGTGTTGGAGGTGATGAGGGAGAGGGAGATGACAAAGGATGCCTGGTAGGAGCCGGTCAGGTAGCTGCGTCGGAAGGGAGGCGGTCAGTCATGTGCACATAAACAAGAGCCGTTTGCGGGAAAGAGGGCTCACAAGCAGATCAGACGACCGACGTACGCATCGTCGGGAGCGAGGAGGAAGCCCAGAGCCCCTGCGATGGTCGGGATCATGAACACCGCACATACGAGCGTCCGGCTATTGCGGGGCATGTAGTGGTTGGCCACGGCGCCGAGCGTGATCCAGATGACGATGATGACGCCCTGGGGGATGCCCAGGAGGGCGGTGTGGAGTGTGTCGAAGCCGAGCCCCTGGATGACCAGGGTGGAAAAGTTGGAGATGCCGCCGTTGGGTATGTTTGCCAAGAAGCCGAGCAGACAGAAGAGCCAGGTCTTGTAGTCGAGGTAGGCCTCCTTCACGTGGGACCAGTTGATCGTCCGCTGCTCGATGCCCGTCTGGTTCTTTCGCAGCCGGCCGATCATCATGAGCTTCTCGTCGTGGGTGAAGCCCCGGATGGTGATGGGCGAGCTGGGCAGCAGCAGGGCCAGGGCAACCGCCCAGGCGGAGCAGGCGGCGCCGACGATGAGGAACTCGTACCGCCACGATACGAGGGCGCCCTCGATATTTCCGATACCATAGCCTGGAATGTCTGACTTTAGCGGGGGGAGAAGACGGAGAGAGGGACATGCGTATACGAGAGGGGAGAGCGAGAATGGTTACCGATAAGACCACCACCAGCCACCCCAATCCCGTTCCACGCGTACCATGCCGAGATGCGCGACGGCTGCTCCTCCCTGGTGTAGTACATGGACGTGATTAGCATGAAGGCCGGGTCGGCAATGGCCTCGAAGGCCCCGGACAGGATGCGCAGGGCGACCAGGCTGGGGAAGCTGCGCGCGGCGGCCTGGCACATGAGCAGAGCCCCCCACATGAAGATGTTGAAGGAGAGGTAGCAGGCCGGCGGGTTCCGCTGCATGATGAGGTTGGACGGGATGGCCCAGATGAGCCAGCCGAAGTAGAAGGCGCTCGAGAGCCACGAGTACTCGGTCGACTCCAGGTCGAGACTGTCTTTGAGGCCAAAGATGGCGGCGTATGAGCTTCGTTCGTCGGTCATCGTGTCAGCTTCCAGCAGTTCATGTGTGCGGGTATACCGGCAAATGGACTTACAGCGTCGTCTTGTCGACGTAGTAGAAGAAGTAGCAGATCCCTAGAAGGGGGAGGATGCGCATGTCGAGCCTCCGACGGAGCTCCTTCTCGGCGGCGGCATCGACGGAGTCGTCGTCCGGGTATCTTTCAAGGGCCTCGGCGTACATGGCTGCATAGCCGTACGTGGCTCCGGGGTCGGTGACGCCCTCAGGCTCAGCCCGCTCGACGAAGCCGTCATTGTGCTTGCCTGATGTCAGGGAGGCAGCTGGAGATTGGTGAAGTGAGGTTTCCATCGTCTCTCTCTCTCCTGGGTTTCTGTCTGTCGGCCGTGGTAATATATAATGGTCGGCTACGATATCTGCCCTCGACGACTAGATGATAGCGATGGCCGTGTCCAAGACAGTTGAGAGGCAGGTTAGCGGTGACCACCACGACCGTGATATGGGCCCCTCTTGTTGACCAGTCAAGGTAAGAACGATGTATAGATCCATCAAGGAGAATCGATATAGTAGTTTCGGTCCAGCCCATCCTATGTCGGGGTAAATAGGTACGGTGCGGGGACGGGGAAAGGCATGTAATCATGTATGCAGATCCCGGTAGATGTTGACGGCTGGAACGAACATCCTTTCCCGTCAAGGCCATCCTTCGCATGTGGAAGAGCCAAATCAGCTCGTGGTAGAGCATCTCAAGGCTCCTGATGTCTAAACTAGACCTGAACCAGACCTGTCATCCCCGTGATAAACCCTGCTCTCGATTGATTAATCCACCAACCAGATCTTCCCCAGATTTTACCGACACCTTCTCCGCAATGACGAAGTCTGGGGCCCCGACTGGGGAAAGCGGGTAAACAACCCACCCACACGTCGAGACCCTCAACAAACTTGGTCCATCTCTATCTCCTCCACCTTCATGATTCGTCCAGTTCTCCTCGGTCCGCGGAGCACCCATACGATGCCTATCATTCTCGGGCGGGATCGTGTGTACATTACATCATCTATCATGTTCCATCGCACCTGTACGTATTGATCCTACTGATCAAGGCTGACGACCACCTTTCCGATCTGCTTCCCCTGCCAGACAAACTCGATGGCCTCGTCAGCCTTGTCAAACGACCAGGTCGAGTCAATTATATCCTCAAAGGTCATCCCCGTGGCTGAAACAGCAGCCATCAGATCGTCCTGGTCGGCTTTGGAACCGGCATTTACGCCGCGGATGTTGAGCCGTCGGTCGATGACAGTAGACACGAATCCCCTCAGATTCTCGGGCTTTGAACCGCCCAGATAGCCTACCTGGCTGACGGTGCCTCCTCGTCGGGTGCACTCCATCGACCTGACAAGCGAGCTGCTGCCGCCGTTCTCCACAACGAGGTCGACGCCTGTGCCGTCCGTCAGGCGTAGGACCTCGGCCTGCCACTCGGGGTGAGTTCTGTAGTTGACGGTCTGGATTTCGGGCTCTCCAAAGTGCTCCTTCACCCGGTCCAGCTTCTCGTCGCTGGACGAGGTCAAGATTATGCGCAGACCGGAGGCGCGAGCGAGCTTGATGGCGAATACCGAGACACCACCGGTACCTGGAGACATGCTATGAGATGGACAGCCGGGAATCGGTGAGAGGATAGACACGTGCCTTGGATGAGAACGGTCTGGCCAACGGTGGCGCCCTTGATTGCAGACCACGCGGTAGTCCCTGCGCAGGGGATCACGGAGGCCTGGATCCAGTCGAGATGCCCAGGCAGCTTGGTCACCTTGGCCTCGTCAAAGACGAAGTGCGTGGCCAGAGTGCCGTCCTCGTCGGCGGCGAGCCAGGAGCGCCCCGTAGACCGGGCCGTCACGTACTCGGAGTCTGTGATGGGTGCGACGCGGTCCCCGACGGAGACGAGGGACACCTGGTCGCCTACCAGGACGATCTCCCCCGCGGCATCATTGCCGGGGACGCCGTTTTCCGTGACGGGCCAGGGGTTGCCGCCGTTGGCGATGCTGGCGTCGCGATAGTTCAGGGAAACGGCATGAACCTTGATGAGGACAGATGTAGGGTGCAGGGGAAGAGGAAGCTTCTCCTTCACGAGCTTCACCTTTGGTGTGCCTTTGGTGTAGTCGTCTGTTCGACGCCAGGCTTGACGGTGTGTAGGGGTGGGCATTCTAGTGTCGAGTCGAGAGTCTTCTTAGGGGATGGTGGTGATGTGAATGTCGGATTCTATCCTGCGACGTCGAGATGAAGGTGGGATGGCAACGCATGCACCAGAAATTAGAATGTATGTGTTGGCCGGTGTCTTGTTCGCCGAGGAAGGCGACTGCATATGCTTATGGTCTCTGATATACATTTACCCCACTTCCAGTAGGAATTCACAGATAGGAGTCGTCATCTGTTCGTTGGTCGATACAAGTTGGTAGGCTTGTTATTCGGTCTGCACGGTGTGCTGCTTCAAGATGGCGAACGTACATCGAGTTCAGCGGTTTTATAAGTATGAGAGTTTTTATGTCGTGGTTCCGAGGCAATGAACCTCCGAGAGCCATTACGATTTTCATCTTCATTGGGAAATAATAGAATAGCATCCTCATTCCCTTCCTGACATGTGTATACCTTCCTTTCTTCTCAAGGAGAACCGCACAACAATTCGACGATAAGGCATCAGATGGGTGGATGACTGATGATGATGACGATTCTATGTGCCCTGGAATTTGGGGGTGGCGTACCCAACTTGATTGACTAAGCAGCGAGGGGCTGCTGCCACACACTCACATCTGTAACTAGCCTCCTCATAGATAGATTTCCTTCCTTTCCGTTCAAGAAAGCAGCGAGACACACATATCGACCCAAGACGTACCAGCAGGCGGAGTCCAGTCTATTCACGTCTACGGGTCATACGGGTCATCGTGTGCTGTCGCCCAGTGAAAGCACAGGTGCTGTAGCGTAGGGTAACTCGATGAGTGCCGAAACTTTGTCGGCCGTTGGAAACCAGGACAAAACACACTCACACACACGCACAACAAGCATCCAGTCTACAAGATGAATAGGCGTGCAGTTGATGCCTGCTCACCATGGACACACGAGGAAGCGATTACAGCTACAATGACGGCTACGAAGATGACGTCCCCCTGCACCGCAAGCAAGCCTTCGGCTCCGGTATCAAGCGCAAGAGGGTCGAGTTTGTCAGGGCCAAGGATGATGACGAGTCAGCCGTAGGAGCGTCTCAGAAACGCGGGAACGCCTCGGCCATGGGCGACTTGTATGCCAGTATTGTCCTGGGCAGCAGCAGCAGCAGCAGCAGCCGAAGCAGCGGCAGCAGCAAGACGAAACCGGACCAGGCTGCTTCCACTGCGCGTATGGGTGATGACTCAGAGTCTCGGGAAGCAGTGCCAGCAGCACCACCATCGTCGTCGTCGGAAGAGCACGGAAACGAACAGGAGGCCATCTGCACCATCTGCTCGCTATCCATAACAGGCTCCGTGGCCCGGCACAACGCCTCGCTAGCCCACCAGGCCAGCTTGGAGCACTCGCACCCCCCGTCAGCTCTTGATCGATCACGCATGGGACTGCGAGCACTCAAGGCGCAGGGGTGGGACCCGGATGCCCGGAGGGGGCTGGGTAGAGAAGGCGAAGGTGTGCGATACCCCATCAAGACGGCGGCCAAGGAGGACACGCTGGGTATCGGAGCCGTGATTCCGCCACCTGGGGCAGGGTCGGCCGGGAAGAAGGAGCAAGCTCGGCCGCCGGCAAGACCGATGGGGGCAAAGGAGATGAGACGCCTCGCTGAGGAGGAGAGGAGGAGAGGCGAAGACCTGCACCGGGAGCTGTATGGGAGGGTCGACGTGGAGCGCTACCTCAGAGGAGATGGTGGTGGCAGCAGTGGCTTGACATGACTGTGCCCACCAGCTACATACCTCTCCCGAACTTTCTCCCATCTTTTTTTTCTTTCTTCTACGTCATCGACTCTCTTCTCACACTCAAACTCTGTTTGCCTTTTCGCCATTGAGAGGACCGAAGGAAGGCGAAAGATAAGATAGAGAGAGAAAGAGAGAGAGAAAGAAAAGGGGACCAAACCCCAACCTCTCACCGCCGCGCTTGCAAATGCGGACATCACGGGAGGTGGCAGGTTTCACGCGGCGGCAATACTTTCTGCATCACCTCCTCCCTTGTCGGGTATTGATCGACATCTGCAATATGTGGGTGGATCAATGTTCTGCATTCCACCTGCCATTCAGAGAGGACAAGAAAGCTTGCTCCCCCTTCCCGATCACTACTAGCTCTGCTGTGTATGTGAGACCGAGGTCTCGGATCTAGCCCTCAATATTGGCCGCTGACACCGATATGTACAAATAATCGACGCGTCTAGGGAGGGGCCCCTACCGCCTGTCAATGTCGCGTGAGTATTGTACTTGCCTCAATAACAAACAGCCCTCGCGATCGAATCGGGGGGTTCAGCATGACGTCGCACCATCCATTACAGGGTGATAAGGACATTGTTGTCTGTTCCTAGACCAATTCCAAAGGGATTGTTTGTCGCCTATTTGGGAGTCATCTCTGGTTATTCTGCGCGTCATGTATCTCTGAGTAGGAATGTTCGTGAGGTCGGGAAGGTGAAAGGGGTGGTGCAGACTATATAAAAGCAGTCGGTCCCCTGCTGCCACCCTGCAACCTGCACAGTTACTTCATACCCAAAGCCTTTGTCTTTCTCTGTGCAAGAGAGAGAGAGAGAGTGAGAGAGAGAAAGAGAGAGAGAGAGATCGTCCAGACTAATCTGAAGGGGGCTCTACGAAAAAGGAAAGAAAAAGCAGCAAGCATTCGTGTACATATCAGCATGCGATCAGTCACCGGACTCACGGGTGCAGCCCTCATCAGCATAGCCGCGGCCCAGCATATCGGCAAGAATCCGGAGCTGCACCCCAAGCTGTCGACGTGGGAGTGTTCGTGGCAGGACGGATGCCGGGAGAAGAAGACCAGCGTGGTGCTGGACGCACTGGCACACCCGGTTCGCCAGGTCGACCACCCGCAGTACAACTGCGGCGACTGGGGCAGCAAGCCCAACGAGACGGCGTGCCCGGACGAGAAGACGTGCCATGACAACTGCGTCATGGAGGGCATATCGGACTACGAGCAGGTCGGCGTGACGACGGACGGGTCTAGCATCCGTCTGGACATGCTCTCGGACAACGGCACCCTGTACAACCCTCGCGTCTACCTGCTGTCCGAGGGCGAGACCGAGTACGAGATGCTGTCGCTCGCCGGCAAGGAGTTCACCTTTGACGTCGACGTGTCCAAGCTGCCCTGTGGCATGAACGGCGCCGTCTACCTTTCCGAGATGCCGTCCGACGGAGGCATGGGTGGACTCAACGAGGCGGGTGCCTACTACGGCACGGGGTACTGCGATGCTCAGTGCTATACTACTCCGTTCATCAGCGGAAAGGTACGCCATCCAATCTCCCCACCTCTCCCGCGCATGCTGACAGGGAGGCGCAACAGCCCAACATCAAGGGTCGCGGCGCCTGCTGCAACGAGATGGACATCTGGGAGGCCAACTCTCGGGCATCCAACATCGCCTCGCACCCGTGCAACCGGACCGGCCTGTTCGAGTGCGAAGGCGACGAGTGCGGCAAGCAAGGCTCCTGCGACAAGATCGGCTGCACGTACAACCCGTACAAGCTGGGCAACCGGGACTCGTACGGACGCGGGTGGCGCAAGGCGCTGGACACGACTCGGCCCTTCACCGTCATCTCGCAGTACCCCCTGAACGACGACGGCTCGCTGCATTCGTACCGCCGGTCCTACATCCAGGACGGACGCTTCATCCCCATGGGCGAGGTGCGCTTCGACAACCTGCCCAAGGTCAACTACCTGACCGAAGAGCTGTGCGAGGCCACCAAGGCGGACAAGTACCTCGACCTCGGCGGCCACAAGGCCATGGGCGAGGCCATGGATCGCGGCATGGTGCTCGCCCTGAGCATCTGGTGGGACGACCAGGACCACCTCCAGTGGCTCGACGGCGCCCCCTCCGGACCCTGCAACGAGACGGAGGGCATGCCCGAGAATATCCGCAAGAACCACCCCGGCACCGAGGTGACGTTCAGGAATATCCGTTGGGGCGATTTGGGAAGTACCTTTTCCCTCGGCCTCGGGAACTGCACCGTCAGAGACGGCGGGGACGAGGCAAACCTGCCACTCGTTTCCGTGCCTGACCGTCGTCGTGGCGTGCGACAGGTTGAGCATGGGCGGCATGTACACGAGCATGTGCACGGGCACGCGCATGGGCACGTACATGGCATCGGACACGCACACGGACATGCCCACGATCTGTTCCGGGCACCGTCAGGATTGCTTTAATGTTTAATGTCGGAGAAGACGTGTATTTTATGGTTGGGTATATATATATATCTATATATATATCGGAGTTGCGGCGGATTCGGCCAACTCTCTTGTTTGTCCATGTATTCTTGCTCTATTGTCTCTGTTGTATCGCGCTGCCTCTTAGCAAAAGATGCCTGTACCGTTCTGAATGATAATAATAACCCTCACGGAGATTCTCTCCAATACAATGTTTCCCATACAAGTGTCTGTTTGCTTCTTCTTGTCGTCAGGAAAAAGACGGTAGCAGGGCATAAAGCATGACCTTGGGATGGCTGGTCATCATCCATCTACAGTCAAACATCATTATTCATGAGTACAAAGAAGAGATGCAATACAATGAAGGCCTCCTGTTCCTAAACACGTGCTATCCGGACCGATCAGAAATACATGCATCGTCGCATATCACTTCCCGGTAACAATGGTGCTTCCCCTGCCTTTGTCCAGGTCCCTCCCTCACCACTGTGATGAAACGAGAATAAAGGTCAGGGGTGGGAAGGACGGCTCCGTCGTAGTCCTTCCAGAACATTTCCCTCTTCTCTGTTCTCACCCCCGGACAAAGAGTATAGGGCTGTCGACAAAGGATGCCATCTCCAGCCGTGTCTGCCAAGCTGGCTGGTTGCGGTTTCTCATCCTGCTTCTTTTGTCTACCAACCACTGGATGAGAGTGCTCCGGTAGTCGGACGCACAAGACAAGAGACAAGAGGGGAAAACAGAACGAGAGAAGGAAAGTGTACAGAGTATGGGAGACATTCTTTCATTTTCTCTATTATCTATGTGTCCATGAGGCTCTGTCGTCTCCCTTGGCTAGGTGAAGAAGGGGGGGGGGGGGCAGGTATATATATCTGCCTTCCCTCCCGCTCTCCATCAGATCTCTTCTTCGGATCATCATCATAACAACCAGCAACCAAACCCATCAAGGAAAATCATTCAAGGAAAAAGAAGGAAAAAAAGTGCAGGTACGTCACCTCCCCTCTTTCGCTAACGAAATCTTCTCATCGCAAGGATCGAACACTCTAAAAGACCGGAGAACCAAAGCGCCCGGAGCGCCAAAGACATCATATAACAAGTTGTACGAGCACGCCGCTCCCATCACCCCCTTCTTCTTGGCTGACTGAATCCTTCCAGGGATCATCATCAATATTACATCGTCGGACGATCAAGACATCCAGAGCCTTCTAAGAGCTGGAAACCACAGATTAAAAAAAATCAAAGCCGAGTACGTCAATCTCCTGACCCGCCCTCTCATCTTGGCTGACGGGATTTTTATCAGAGGATCGAGCAGGACATGCCATCAGGCTACAAAAGCGGTTCAGACCATCATACTCACCAGATCGTCAAAGAAATCCTAGAAAGAGTACGTACAACTTCCCCTTCACCCCCCCTCTCTTTCCGCTGACAATCATGCTCTTCTACATCATCGTGTCGGCCATCATCCTCGAGACGACAGTCACGGTCTGCTCTCGGAGTGGCAATGACGAGCTCCGTCACCCCCGCGAGAGCGACGATGGCCACGATCATCATCATCGGCCAGACGGACCCGACCGCATATCTAACCAGAACAGCTCTGACGGCGATACCGACGCCGAAGACGCCCAGCCCGCACGAGACCCCGACCTTGAAGTCCGATACGAGCAGCGATTCCAGGCCAAGGCCATCGAGCTGGCGCGGGCCAACCAGGCCAACGAGCAGCTGAGCACACGTCTCGAGAGCGCCAGGCACCGAGTCGGACGCCTCGAGAAGCATACCAGGGGCCAGCACATGCGTCTCGGCTTCTTCACCAAGTGGTACCCCCGTCTTCTCGCGGCGTACAGGAGGCAGGTGCACGAGTCCGAAACCGTGGAGGAGCGCGTGAACGCGCTGCAGGAATGGTCCAGGCTGGCGCACGACCGCATCGAGCTCATGGTCAAGATGAGCGACATGATGGGCATGAGCAGCAGCGTCAGCAGCCTCGGCAGCAGCGCCACGTCGGCATCCACCACGTCGGCGGCATCGCCGTCCGGGTGGGCGCCCGCCAACCCTTCCTCCTCCTCCGCCGTCGCCGTCGTGCCCAGATTCCTCTACTCCCACAGCAAGGCCCTCGTGGCCAAGCACAAGGATACGATCGGCGAGATGGAGGGCCAGGTGGTCGAGCTCAAGAGGCAGCTGGAGAAGACGACGGCGGACTTCATCGACGCCACCAGGCAGCTCGGTCGCGAGAAGCGCATGAGGATGCAGGAGACGCAGATGAGGGTCGCTGCCGAGGCTGCCGCCGTCAACTCCTGGCTCGACGACGAGGGCCTCAACCACAGCGAGGCTCCGGTCCCTCGCGCCCGCAGCCAGAAAATGGTCCATCATCTCCAGGGTGAGGTCCTCGGTCCGGTCGACGACGATGTCAGCGGCGGCGGCAGCAGCAACGACCGCTACCTACTGTCGGGAGAGTACGACGACGACGCCAGCCCGTTCAATTCCGGTGACGAAGACGAAGCCCGCGGTCGTGGTGAGCATGCCAGGAGGGGCGAGGACAGCCAGAGCAGCGAGGATGAGTACGATGACGATCGTCTGGACAGCACCGATGATGGACAAGCCGGCCTTGGTTTGTCAAAGGAGGCGACCAGCCTGGCCGATGAGCTGGCCCAAGAGCTTGGTGACCGTGACTTCTTCCGTTCATCCTGGGATGAATAAGGTGGAGATTAAGAGAGACAAATTCCCAAACCAACAGCATGAATCATATACAAAAAAAATAGATAGGTAGAAGCAACCAAAAGCAAACAAAACAAAGGGGGGGGGGAAGCATACAGAGAAACGAGAGAAGAAGAAAAAAACCATAGAAGAAAAACTTTGAGATCGACAGCAGATAAAACTATCCAGCTATCTAGCGAGGCCGAAAATGGAAAAGCATGAGGTGCAATTCCCCGAATGAACAGCTGAACAACTGATTCTCCGAGTCTTGAATGTGAGATGCAATGTTAGATATTATTCTTCAAGGCGGTATCGGGAGCTGCGAGGCGAGAGCCGAGAACATTTTCTTGTTTCATGAAGAAAAAAAAATTGGAAAAAAATATGTAGCATATTATTACAGTCCAGAAAACGTTTAGGGACATAATACATGTACAGCTCAAGAGATAGCGATAATAGCAAGTCTATATGCGAGTCGTATAAAACCATCCTTGGAAAGAAGGTAAGAAGAGACAAGACGAAACGGAGCCTAGGCCATCAAAGCCATGACACCTGCGACCAGGCCGCCAGCCACCCAAAGGGGAGCCAGAGTCGCAGCGGCATTATCGCCATCGTCGTCGTCGTCGTCGTCGTTATCATCGTCATCATCATCATCGCTCGAGCTCTTCCGAATGGTGGTAGGAATATTAGAGTATGAAGTCGTCAGGTTATCGGTGCTAGAGAGGACGGTAGCTTCGACGGAGATGGCTGTGGCGGTTGCAGAGGCAGAATCGTACGCTTCTGGAGAGAAGCTGCACATGGTGATGATGTCATTGATTGCTGTGCTGTCTTAGAATATGCGCATCGCCAGACAAGGAAATCAAGTGAGATGACAAGAGGTGGTGCAGAGAGGGAGGGAGGGGAGGAGCAGTATGTGAAGGGAGAGTAGAGAAGCTCACCGTGTAGAGCATCTTTGACCTCATCCCGCGTATCGATGAGCTCTTCCTCCTCATCGTCATCACGAGTAGACAGATGATGCGGATTCGTCAGACAACCCAGTATACAGCCCTGGCACTGCTCGGCTACGCTGGACACGCCAAAGTTCTCGTTCCCGCACACGCACTCGGCCTCGAGCTGCTCCTCCTGGGCGTCGGAGAGGTCTCCGTCTGCCTTGCCGACCTCGCTGCGGCACTGGCTGACCAGCTTGGTGAGGGGCACGCAGATGTCTCGGCATACTTTCGGTGTATCTTCAACATCAAAGACGATTGCCGATGCTGTCGTGGCCAGAGCGGCGAGGGCAACGAGGGCAGAGGGCTGGAGGCGCATTGCGATAACCGTGTCCGGGAGGGGGGGGGGGTATGATATCACCTGCTTGGTCGGTGGATGAGGCTGAAGATGGTGAGAGAGAGGGGGGGGGGAGGGAGGGAGGGAGGGAGCCCCCTTGCAACTTGGCTAGATCTGGGTCTGTGTGCTCGAATTTCGGGGCGGATCGTAGAGAATTGACCGGAATGGACGGTGACGGGGAGACAGAGGTATGATGTGCGATGCACGAGTTATAGAAAGAGGAGGAGGAGAGAGAAGGTCAAGATGCTGACGTTGATAGCATGGATCAACGGCAGGATCGCGACCAACAACTACGTAATCTCTCGGAGATAACCAGGAAACCTGCATATCGGCGCAGATTGGCCGCTGTGAGCCTCACTCAGCCCCTGTACTCCGTCCCCTGTAACCGGTAACCGCTCATCCCTCGGCTCCCTAGAGACCCTGTTGCTTACTCGTAGCGTAGAGTCCCACTCAGTCCAGGCATCGACGGCCGCTATAACAATCTGTAGATATTCCACTAGCATCCGTCCGCTATTGATATCCGCTAGAACATCTCCCGCCCCCCCCCCCCACCATCCATGTCTGTTTCGTCATCTCATCTCGTTCCATCGTTTCATCCATCAACCATCAACCATCCCTCTGATCTATTCAACTCGGACGCGTGAAATTCCTGAAAAACTCAGCAATCAACTCACTGGCCTCCAGATACGTCGGACCGTCACCAGCCGCAACCTGGGAGAAGTTGGGCTCGGTCGAAGCCCAGCAATGCTCTGGTGGACGAGACAGGCACAGTCAGCAACAGCATGCGTGGGCGGGGCGGGAAGGGGATCAGACGACGACTCACTCTGGTCATCGGTCCTGTAGTGCTGCACGGCGCCCTCATGACCTTGGCATGACCAGCTCAGACGTCGCACATGTCCATCAAACAGGTCTGACTCGGTCTCGTGTTCGCAGAGGTTCCTGCCCGCCCAGCGAGACGCCCACTGCGGAATAGATGGCAGACGACCACCGCTACCAGGTCCCCCATCATACGGGACCTCCTCGTCCGCACCGCCGTGGATCTCCAGCACGGGCGTGGGGACCCGCGCAGGACGGCAGTCGCGGTAGCTGTCGTCGTTGTCCGTGTAGAACGACCCCGAGGCGGGCGCGAAGGCGGCAAACTCTCGACCGACCCTTTCGCTGCACGCAATCGTGTCGACGAACCCCCCGCCGATAGACATGCCGGTCGCGTAGATGCGAGCGCTGTCGACGCAGTATTCGCGCCTGAGATCGGACAGCAGGTCGAGGACAAAGTCCAGGTCCTGGGTCGTGGTGGCGTCCGAGTAGTTGGCCCCGGCCCAAGCTCCGCCCAGCCCGTCCGGGTATACGGTTATCGTGTCGGGCGTGAAGCGTGCCGAGCTCAGACGCGTGTCCGCCTCGAAGAAGAGCCCTATGCTGCTGGAGCCGTGGAAGCCCAGGATGGCAGGATAGGCCCTGTCCTCTTCGTACGTCGACGGTAGGTGTACGCTGTATCGGCGGGTGGTGCCGCCGGATGAGATGGCGTGGTAGTGCGGCAGGCCGTCGAAGTAGTGCTTCTTGCCGCAACCGGAAGCATCGCCGCCGGTGTATGGCTCCGCCGCCGCCGCCGCTGCTGCTGCTGCTGCTGTCGCGACGACGGCGAGGACCGAGAGTATTGGGGCTCTATGATGCATCATGTCGTGATGCAAGATGGTCGAGCAAGATCCATGCCGATGATGAAGAATCTGTCCAACGATGAAGGACGAGAGGCGACGAGAAAGAGGGAGTCGATCAAGGGGCCCATCGCAATACCACGAGATCAGGCGGTTCCTGCGCCTCGAGTCTATGAGAGGTCATCTGGCATTGCCAGCATAGCACATCTTCTCCCAACAGGGCAAGTCAAATCATGTCTGCCTTGTCCAGCCTTGGCAATCTATCCTGCTATCCTCTCCCCCCCCCCCTCTTCTCTCCTTTCTACTGATACTCATCAATCACTTCTCGTATCTCTTTGTCACAGGTACCATGTACGAAATCGGGAGTGACGATGATAAGGGCAAGCCCCTCATGAACCGGACCGGACAACTGAAAAAAAAAAAAAAGTCCTGTCCAGGCACCGGTCATCATCAGGCCCCGATACATCCTTGCATTTTTCTTACATGGCTCCATGTTCCTGCAAGGTGCATCTCACCTTGTGGGCCCTTCATCAATCAACGCTCCGTATTATTCAAGCGTTCGGGTTAATATGCAGTCAGCCGGCGTCATCTGCGAAGCCTGTAGGATCAGACCAGACAAGAATGAAATGAGCAATCCCACAGATTACCATTCCTGGCAGATGTAAGCGTACTAATTATAACAAGGTGCACACCGACATATATCATACATACATATACATACATACATACATGCATACATATATATATATATATATGTATAGCCTCGACTACCGTCTCCAGGATAAATCAGGCATCATTCACTTTCTCGCTTCATACCGACCGACATCTCGCAAGGCAAAACATCTCAAGAGCAATGATCTCCAATTGTCTGCTGCGTGCTTCGGCCGTAGTGGCTGGCCTCGTGGTCTCGACCACGGCTGCCGCCGTCCTCAACGTCAAAGTTGACAGCAGTGTTAATACCGTGGAGGTTGCCGACAGCGGTAACCTCGTCTTTGCCCACTTCNCCCCCCCCCCCCCCCCCCCCCCCGCACGCACGCACCCCGGGAAAAAAATAAGAAGAAAGAAAGAAAGACGGAGAGGAGAAGAGACCTGACATGACATCGAACATATCGCTCACAAGATCTAACGCACATCAGATGGGCATCGTCGGTGGACGCACCAGCGCAGCCGACTACGATGCCGACATGAAGCTTGCCAAGTCGGCGGGAATCGACGCCTTCGCTCTGAACATCGGCACGGACGACGGGACGGACACGCAGCTGGGCTACGCGTACGAGTCGGCGGCCAACAACGACATGAAGGTCTTCATCTCGTTCGACTTCACGCTGTTCGACCCGGCCTCGTCGGCGAGCACGGTAGGGTCGATGATTGCCACGTACGGGTCCCAGGCCTCGCAGCTGCTGTACGACGGCAAGGTGGTGGCATCGTCCTTCAACGGCGACGGGCTGGACGTCTCGGCCCTGCGCTCGGCAGCGGGTGACATCGTCTGGCTGCCCAACTTCCACCCGCAATACGGGACGGACATGACCGTCGTGGACGGGGCGCTGAACTGGATGGCGTGGCCGAACGACGGCAACAACAAGGCCCCCCAGCCGGGCGGCACGTCGCTGTCTGTCGAGGACGGCGACGCCATCTACCGGTCCGCCCTGGGGCCGGACAGGACGTACGTGGCGCCCGTGTCGCCGTGGTTCTTCACGCACTACGGCGCCGAGGTGGACTACAGCAAGAACTTCATGTTCCCGTCCGACACGCTCTGGTTCGACCGGTGGTCGCACATCGTCGAGTCGCAGCCGCAGCCGCCCATGGTGGAGGTGATCAGCTGGAACGACTACGGCGAGAGCCACTACGTCGGCCGCCTGGACAGCCCGCACGGCGACGACGGCAACTCCAAGTGGGCCTACGGCCGTCCGCACTCGGGCTTCCTGGACATGGCGCGGCCGTTCATCGCCGCCTACCGCGCCGGCTCGTCCGACGTATCCGCCCACATCACGGACGACTCCCTGGTCTACTGGTTCCGCACCACGCTCAAGGACGTCGACTGCGACTCGACCGACACCACCATGGCCGACGGCAACAACTCGACGGGCAACTACTTCCACGGCCGGCCCAACGGATGGGACACGGCCCAGGACAAGGTCTACGTCGTCACCCTGCTCACCGCCCCGGCCACCCTGTCCATGACGTCCGGCGACAGGACCGACACGGTCGACGTCCCCGCCGGCGCCGCCATCTCCTCGGTCGACATGGCCCCCGGAACCGTCCACCTGACCCTGTCGCGCGACGGGGCGAACATCTTCGACGCCGACGCCGGTGCCCAGGTCGTCGACTCCTGCCCCTGCGGCATCTACAACTTCAACCCTTACGTCGGCACCCTGCCTGCCGGCGACGCAGATGAGCTCCTTCCGGAGGGATATTCCCAGATCATGAATGGTCTCAACGTCGATAGCTGCGGGCCCTACTAGATCGGTTAATTACCCATCATGGTAATGATATATCGCCTTTGCAAATCAAGACATGATTTTTTTAACAAAATCAAAATGGAGATTTTGATATCCTGTGCTCGTCTGAAATCATTACTATATACTATTACAACAAGCACGGGTATAATCTGCATTATATATGTGTATATATGTATATATCATAACCACCTCATATAAGTACCTTGTATATATTTCAGCACGATTGACCCATTTGTTTCTTCCCACCCTCAGACGTTGCAAAGAAAAAGAAAAAAAACAAGGTTATTAGGGACAAGTGTAATTTAATCTGTACATGGACGGGAACGTGGAATTAAGGAAATTTACGTTATTGCCGATTCCGATGCGGCTTTCATGATGATTTTCTTTTCCTCCCTTCCTTCCAACAACCTTTTTTTTTTCTCTAACCTTTATCAATCAGCTTACAACATCCGGGAATTGATAAAAGTAACTGATTTTCTTCTTTTTTTTGTCTCGTCTTGTTTCTCCGTTCCCATATAGACTAGTTAAGAAGTTTACATACGGGAGGCAAAGTAATTTCAACAAGAAAGGAATGCGGACAAGCTCCGTCCATGACGAAAAAAAAAAACCAAATACGTGATAGCTATGTGTATTTGTTTTATCAACATGCAGTTCTACCGCATCTAGATAAGTACTTGTGTGCCACTGTTGCTCCGTGATATAATGATGGGGGGTAGATAGCATTAGAGGGACTATGAAGAGAGAGAGAGAGAGAGAGATACTTGGGAGCGCAGTTTCGGCCATGCCACTCAGGTGTAAAACGGCGAGGCGCATGTCGGCTTTCAGCCATCGTGTTCATGCGGCATTGTCAACTTCGTAAAAAGACATCTCGGATTTTTTTCAGAAATGTGTGACGGTCTCTCGGAAAGGAAAATTGAAGTGAACAGCCGACTTTCTTTTTTTAATGAAAAAAAAATGGACAGTCTCCTTGTTTCTTTGTATAGACTTCGCATAAGACAGAATCCACCGAGCGGTCCCGGAAGACCACAGTCCTGGACTGTCCATCATCTTCAGTCGGTAAATGAACCGTAGAAGCTGTCCGAGTGGTCGGAGGGGAAAAAAAAAAGTTTTATTCTCAAACAACCTTCCCTCCTTCCCTCCCCTACCCCGAGGCTCCCCGGAGCTTGACGTGCCCGGCTCGCTGGCAAGAGTTTCACAATCTGCGGGAGGGTTCTTCTCTTCGTCCGGGCTGCCCGACTCCGTAGTCGGTTCCTATTCATGCGATCTGCTGGCTACATTCATGGTCAAGGTCAGCGTCTGTCCCGGTTCAAGGAGGGGGGAGGGAGGTGGGAGGCGTTTCTCTCTTTTCTGATCAGACATACGATGCAGGGCGGTACCAGTTCTCCCGAGGGTCACCGAGGCATTCTCCAACCGTGACCAATCTGTACCCATTCTCCTTGGCCACGTCAATCATATACCCGACCAGCTCCTTGACGGTACCCTCGTGGATGTCATGCGACAGGGCGATGTATGACGCCTGCTGGTGGCTCTGGACCTGGTCGGCGAAAACCTTCTTGGAAGCCGGAATGTTCTTCTCCCAGTCTAGCGTGTCAAGGCTCCAGGTAATCTTGAGTTCGGAAGATCAGCCAAGGCATTCTGCAGATTGCAGCGTTGGAAGAAAAAGAAAAAAGAAAAGATTGCTAGGCCAGAGATGCGAGAGTACAGCGATGCGGCGCAGGAGTATACATACCACGTGGTAGCCAAGCTCGTTGAGAAGACCGAGGCAGGCGTCGTTGCAGTTACCGTAAGGCGGGCGGAAGTAGGTGGGCAGGACGCCGATGACCTGGGCAAATGCAGCCTCGTTCTTGACGATCTCGTCTCGGCGTACATCTGGCAGGACGCTGTCCAAGTCCTTGTGACTGTACGAGTGGCTGGCGACGTGGTGGCCTGCGGCGTACATGCGTCTGACATTGTCCGGCCTGCCAGAAGACTCGTCCAGCATGTCACCCGTGTTCATGGCGTTGAGGAAGAAGGTGGCCTTGACCTCTTTGGTGGTGAGTATGTCCAGGATCGTCCCGGTGTAGGGGCCGGGTCCGTCGTCGAATGTGAGGGCGATCATGTTAGGCTCCTTACAGTTCTCAATGACCTGGCCATACGGCACCGTTCCGGGGTGCGACCTGGTTTCCCTCTTGACCGGAGTGGTCGATCCAGGAGCTGCCAACGCAGGCAAGGCAAACATGCAGGCAGCCAGGGCGACCAGCATCTTGTTCGGGATGGCAAAAGACATGACGGGCGGAGCTGGATCTCTTGGGGCAGGATAAAGAGGTCAGGGGCAAGAGGGGGGGGGGCGGGTAGGGGGAGGGGAAAAAATCCGACAGATATAAGAGAACGAGGGGAAGAATAATGAACGAAAGACTTGGATAACGAGGGTGATGGGATGGTAGATGATCCGTCGACATGGGGAGCAACGCACTACTTATTATATCTCAAGCCTCCCTCCCCGCAGCCACATGTCCCTGAACACGACACGGCTCTCTATCGTATCGAGGAATTCCTCGCTCGTCGCGGCACGGCTGCCACACCGACATAGCGTGGATTTCCTCGGGTGCAAGAGGATACGGCTGCAGGGCCGGGCTGGCGTTGGACCGAGACAGGTCCCAGCTCGAGGTCGATCAGTTCGATCGCGCTGCATGCAAGGGAACACATGCTTGCTTAGATGCAGCCGCGGCCGACCCCTGCTCAACCTTGAATTCTGAACCTTGAAGGCACAGGTATGAAGGCCATCATAGCAGTCCGTTGCAAACTTAATAGCTAGCGGGCACGTATCCCGTCAGTCTGACCATATCCGCCGGGTTCTTTTGGAGGCTTGCTGTTCATCGCCTCTGACCATTAGCCCAGGAAGAAGACATTAACCGAAGGCAGCTCTGGCACTCGTAGGAGGCTGCATCCAAGGATCTCACCGGATGGAACATGGCGTTAGCACTGGAATTGGTAAAACATGTGGCGGCGCGCGAGTGCGACACCTCCGAAAATCCGGTTCTGAGAGATCGCTCTTTTTCTTTTTTTTTTTTTTTTTTTTTTTTTTTGCAAATCAAAGTCAATAACGACCTCGCTTTCAATCTCTCAGCAGGATGGAATTCGATGCCGTCAATTGCGCGTCTGAGCCTCAGACCCAACACGACCTACCTGAGCAAGATACAAGATATCGGGCGCATCCCGGCAAACCCTCTTCGTGCCGTCAGTGCGTACCGTACCGTACTCGTGTGTACTGAAAAGGGGCAGGTTTTTGCAGCGCGCGCATGCATGCACTTGCTCTCCTCCGTCTCGGCTGAATAACGCGTGCTTGGTGGTGATTACCTTGTGGGCTGACGACGGAGTCGTGTACTTTGAATGCTCGATCTTTATCCGCCCGATGTACGAGTAAGTAGGATCATGGGCCTGACACCTGTGACTCGATAAGTCTTGGCCGACGAGCCTGGCGCGTTCTCGATAGCCGAGTTTTGCATCTCGTAATATCGGCCAGAACAGGACATGTCGTGTGCACGAGGGCGAGGAGCCTCTGAGGTCCCCAGATCGAGGTCCCCAGAGCGTAGCGCCATCTCATCTGTCTCTCCGCAATATCACTGAAATCTTGGGGGGGGGGGGGAGGAGGGGAACCGCATATTAGCTGGATGTGCCCGAATCTCAAGGTACGCAGGAACCCGCTCAGGAGTACAGGTTGGCGCGGTAGGGTGAGACAGAGTCTCTCGTCTGTTGTGTTCAGTCACATATCGGGAGAGACAGAGGGAGATGATGCAAGACATGCGAGACAGCAGCTTACGAGTGCCCGTGCTGGCTGATAGACTGGACAGCATTCGTCGGCGAGGTTGAGCGCCTGCTCATGCGGGATCCAGGGGCTCGCAAGTCAGCATGGCTTCGAAAATGCAATAGTTTCTCGGCCCATTACTAGCATCTTCACTATCTGCAGTCTCGGCGCAAGATGGTGTCCATGTCATCCGGAATCTCGCTGGTCCTAGGCGGAGAACGAGAGGCTGCGGATCCTCGACGGCTAGGCGTCGCCGACGTGGAAACCCAGCACTACCGGGATGCCAGCCTGGCTTCTCGTCCCAGCATGCACGATCCGAGATGTAGGGAACAGCATAGCCAAGGGGAGGCGGTGGCATCAAGCCGACAATGTTGATGATTACTTGGAGGGGTTTCGGTTTACGGAGACCGAGAAGGCGAGTTGGAAATGCTGGTAAGCGAGAGAAGTTACGCGTAAGCAGGCAAAACAAAAAAAACAAAAAAAGCCCTGTCTCTAGTGTCTCTAGTTAGAATTCGGAAAGGAAGGACCCCTGTAAATTCAGCTGGGCTCCTTCCCAGTTTGAGGCAAATGCCGCTACCCAGTGCCAGCTAGCACTAGCACCATATAAGTACAGCAGTGAGGAATCTTGGTCAATGGCGTAACGGCTGAACTGGCAACTTGGAAAAAAGAGTGGTAAGTCTTGAGGGTAAGTTTACGCTTGGTTAAGATTATATTGAATATCGAATAAAGCTCTGTATATATTGATGGTGACAATATACATATGTCGTCTTGACCAATTATATCATAGAAAGACTACTCATGGCTTAGCTAAGCGGGACTCGACCATGAAACCNTCTCGAGAGAAGTCTTGTAGGAGGGCAGAACTTGAGGAGGAGAGGTGGCATTCTCTGATACCAAAGGGACTGGTTACGGCGAAGGCAGCCCTCTAGGTGATGACTGACGTTCAAGGACGAAGGCATCGGTAGCGAACAGGATCAGATAGCCTCAGTAGTCCTTTGCAGTCGATGATGAATGCCATGAGCTAGACAACAAGCTTCTCGATTAGAATCGTATCCCAGTCGATGCACGAGCACTGCATGGTCGTCAAACTACAGGCCACCAGCCCCTGGCGAAGCCGCCGACAGAAGCCATTCGGCGCACGGCTTCGGCGCATCATCACTGCTTCGACGCCTGCCGTGTAGGATCGATCCGCCTCTTCTCCCACCGTCCTCCATGTCGAATCCGTCCTCCTTTCATCTCGACATCGGCATTCGACAGAGCAGAACGATGCAGCTCAAGACCTCCAGATGGCTCCAAGCCGACTTCTCCCTCTACCGCTCAGCTTGATAGGTGCTTGGTAGATGCGCCGAAAGGCTTCCACAGATTACAGGGGCCATAGCTTGGTCGCCAACGCGCGTGCTTACCCTACATGCATGTGCCGGTTTCTATTTCTTGTGTCTCATCACCTCATCAGGCCGTGCACCCGGTCACCTGATAGCTCTCCAGGTGAACGCGATAATTTATTATTCAGTAATGACACTGGTATAATACTCGCGGCCGGCACCGTCGCACGTACGTGTATTGAGGTTACAATCGACCAGGAAAGTCGAAGGTGACGCATGTTCGCTCCAGCATTTGCGCCCATCTGAACAGCGTCGTATTCACGGTTAAACGTGGGGGCTGTCTAACTCTAAATATCGGATACCTGCATCGCAGATGACAGCTAGGAGAGAGTCTGCACGCTTCCGCTAACGTGGGGTGACGAGAGAGATCCTCACAAGGCAGGCTGCATGGGAGGCAAGTCGACGCCGATGACCCAGATGTGATTCTTGTCAGAACGTGAGGTCAGGCACGTGTCACACGCAGGGTGGGTGCGTCGCCGCCCGCACTTTCGCGTCGGCGTGTTCGTCGGCATAGCCTAGCACCCGGACTCCCCTCCCTGTGCCCACGTCGAGGACGTTTTCCGCCCTCCGCTACCTCAGCGCGTGGCGGTGTGAGGCCGAGCTCTGCTATCGAAGGTGAGGAGGAGGTCTGCCGGCCGTACGAGGAACGACGCACAGGCCGTTATCGGACCTGCATTGTAACACCTACGCACTCTGCCTGCCCTGCAACCCTCCCCGTCGCCGTCTGGTAGGGCGTCGTCTTGTCGAATCGAGCGATGGCGTCAGCAATTGATTCAGACGCCCGGCGTTGAGTGCATGCGCGACTCACTCCCGGCTCTGCAGGCATGGTACGTTCTGCATATCCTCACGGCGGTGGTCGAGATCCGAGCCCGTCACGCCGGTATGCATGCCGCCAACTGGGGTTTACGGTGACGGGAGAGGCAGGAGTGAAGAAGAGCCGAAGCAGATGTACGAGCATGCATGCATGCACGTCGGCGGCAGCGAAGACTTGGAGAGGGGTCGACGAGAGTTGAGAGGGCAGAGATTGCGCCCACCGCCGAGGCCGTGCACCGAGAGCTCCTGGAAGGCCTTTGCGGCTGTGTACGGGGGCCACGCATGCATGCATACCCGGTCGATTTGCGTCTCCGATCCTTGCTTTGGGAAAGGATCAGTCACATACCCGGCCCTTGGCAGACAGGTGACTCTGACGAAGGTAGTAGAGCTGACCGGCATTACGAAACTCATATATCATGGCCTCCCCCCGGTACCGAGTGGTGAGATGCGACGTACGGGTACGAAGCAGGTATCCATCCATGTATGTGTTATATATATGCACGTGGCCGTCGACCGCCATGTGCTGCGTCGCATTGCTCGCGTCTGAATCCTTGCCCCCGGAGACTCAATCTGCGTTCTTAGGCGACAACGACTGGAAAGCTGGACGAAGGCGCACCCTGCAGGAATCTCATCGACGCGTCGCCGCAGTCAGACCGCAGTCTCGGCGGCACGATACTGCATGGGCCATCTGATGGCCCGAGAGCATCCCGTGCTCTTGAACCAGCCCGATAGACGGACCCGACTTGGGAAGATATCACGGGCCAAGGTCCGTCCATCGGAGAGTCAGATGGCGTCGGCTTGATAGAACACGGCCTGACTCACTGTACCCGTCCGATGTACGTCTGAACGATTCCATCTTCGGGCGCACGGCATCTCGGATGACGACGCTCGGGACGATGACAAGCCCAGCCTGGCCGACCTCAACGGGGGAATGACGTTGGCGGATGCGAGCCGGTCATGCTGTGCGTTGCGTCGCTGTACGCATGGCTACTGGCGGGGAAGCTTCCGTACGGTTGAACGGGGTCGAGTCCCGATGAGGACGGTTGACGGATTGACGGATCATCCGGTGGAGGATACGATTTGGGGGGGGGGAGGAGGAGAAGAGGATGACGAGGACAGTCACGTGTAACTCAGTGGATGGCGGCAGTGCCGGGTAGATCGTCTCTATCTCAGTTGAGTTAGTCGGCTCGCGGACATTTCATGCAGCCCGTAGCCGCAGCCTACTAGGTCTGTAGCGGTATGGTGGACGCTGCATGCTGTTTAGACGATGCATGTGTCTTGATCAGGACATGGAGCGGGTGATGATCGTTCTACTCAAATCCGTTACGCCGTCCAACTGATCAGGGCACCTGCTGTGCTATTATCGGCTGTGCTCTCTCGGCTGTGCTGCCATCGACATGGACACGGACCGAGTACAGATTAATGTTGAGACAGGAGATCGCCCACAGGGTCGTCGGTTGCCCTGGCGGCAACGGACTCGGGCCAAGCCACGCCCTGAGCGGTAAAGCTTAGCATCAGGCGTCAGAGTCCAGTGCTACGGAGGAGATGCTCTGTGCCATGGGTGGTCCAGCAGAGAGATGCATGCAAGATGTGGGCTGAGCTGATAATAATAGCAATCATAACAGGAACTTTATTTACCTCGTACCGGCGTGCTCGTAGCCTCTATGTGACGGGGGGGGGGGGGGGGGGAGAACGAAGCGGATTGTGCTCCGTACCTGTACTCCGCACTCGGTACCATTCCTCACCACGGCACCTGTACCGGTAACCTGGTGCTGATAGCCGTACCGGTGGTACTGCAGCGCAGCAGCCGACTGGGCGCAGCAGAACACTGACTGGCCTTGACCTTCAGGCTTCTAGGCACCGGCTCATCAGGCGCATTTCGCACTAAACTGCAGCTGCCAGAGCAACGAGCGTCGGTGGGACGGAATGCAGGGGACCCTCCAGCTTTTTGCCTCCCCGGGTCCTTGTAGGAGACGCTGGAGTGACGGGGTCGAGTACGAGTACACGTTTCCACCGAATCTCCTCTGATCCTCTTGAAGAAGCCAACCGCGCATGCTCTCCCCCTTGAACCCCTCTTCTCTGTCTCTTCTCCCCTGAACCACCCCCTCAACAGATTACAGATCACAGCACGGGAAGGGGGAAAAAAAGACGAAGACCATTTTAAACTGTCTCACAGCTCTGTCCGGATACATCTCCACTTCAGGCTCCTTCCCGAAACCTCGATATACCGACAACGACACACATGGACGAATACCGATACAACGATACGTATTAGCACCTGACTGCCGGTCGGAGACAGAAAGGGAGAGGGAAGGGAAAAAAAAAAAAAGAGAGAAAGAGGAACCCCTCTACAGCGACACAAACTCTACCCCCAAGATGGAGATGGAGCATATGCTCCTCTCCCGCAACGGCGTCTCTGTCGGAGGAGGGGACGATCGCCCATCCTTCTACAAGGCCGTCGGCATCGGCCTGGCCATCGGGTCGGGCTGCTTCATCGGCGTGTCGTTCGTCATGAAGAAGGTCGGGCTGCTGCGCGCCAACGAAAAGTACAACGAGGTGGCCGGCGAGGGGTACGGCTACCTGCGCAACGGCTACTGGTGGGGGGGCATGACGCTCATGATCCTGGGCGAGATATGCAACTTTGTCGCCTACGCCTTCACCGACGCCATCCTCGTCACGCCCCTCGGCGCCCTGTCGGTCGTCATCACCACCGTCCTGTCGGCCATCTTCCTCAAGGAGCGGCTCAGCATGGTCGGCAAGGTCTCGTGCTTCCTCTGCATCGTCGGCTCCGTCATCATCGTCATGAATGCGCCCGAGTCGTCGGCGGTGAAGGACATACAGGAGATGCAGAAGTACGTCATCACGCCCGGCTTCCTGACATACTCGGGCGTCATCATCGTCGGGTCCGGCGTCGCCGCCTTCTGGGCGGGTCCCAGGTGGGGGAACCGCAACATGCTCGTCTACATCTCCATCTGCAGCTGGGTCGGCGGGCTCAGCGTCGTCGCGACGCAGGGCCTGGGTTCCGCCATCATCGCCTGGATCGGCGGCGAGCCTCAGTACAAGCAGTGGTTCCTCTGGGTGCTGTTCGTCTTCGTCATCGCCACCCTCCTCACCGAGATCATCTTCCTCAACGTCCGTGCACCCTCACCTCTTCCGTCCCGTCCGGACCGCAAATGCTGACCGTTCCGCAGAAAGCCCTCAACATCTTCAACGCCGCCCTCGTCACGCCCACCTACTACGTCTACTTCACGAGCACGACGATCATCACGTCGGCCGTGCTGTTCCAGGGCTTCAAGGGGACAACCTCGCAGATCGTCACCATGGTCCTCGGCTTCCTCACCATCTGCTCGGGCGTCGTGCTGCTCCAGCTGTCCAAGGCGGCCAAGGACGTGCCCGACGCCGCCGTCTTCCAGGGCGACCTGGACCAGATCCAGACGATAGCGGAGCAGGAGCAGCCGGAGTCGGAGCCCAAGGCCGACGCGATCCGCGGCGCGGCCGGCCTGGTCCGGCGCTTCTCGCGCGCCCGCCTCAGGATGGAGGAGGACGAGCTGCGCCGCCTGCACGAGGAGAAGAAGATGATGGAGACGATGCAGGCCATCGACGAGCACGGGCACCCGATCGAGCCCGAGTACGAGTGGGACGGGCTCAGACGGCGACGGACGACGACCTTTAGCAGCGCGCGCCGACCCCCGACGGCCGCCAGCGCCACCCTGTCCAACCGGTCGCTGGCGTCGCCCCTGCCGCCGCTGACGTCGATGACGCCGAGCATCCGCAGCCCGCGGAGCCCCCACCCGCCGCTGGGGATGTCTCGCTTCCCGGACGACTACGATCACGAAGGGTCTGAGCGGGGGCACCGTCAGCATCACGACGACGACCGCAGCATCTTCTCCAGCATAACGGGCAGCTTCATCCGCCACGGCAGCCGCGGCCGCTCCCGCACGGCCACCACCATGCCCCCCTACGACGAAGAGGACGGGCCGGACGGCGGCGGGGTGGACAAGGGCGACGCCGACGCGGCGGTCTACCTAGAAGAGATGTCCCACCAGCGCCCGCACCCGACGTCCTACGGCCACGGCCACGGCCACGTCCACGGCCACGGCGGCTACGGATACGCCCCCGCCTACCAGCGCGAGATACCGGCCCCCCTCTACGACCAGGACACGTCATACCGAGGCGGCAGCTTCAACCCCGCCCGCGCAGCACGCACGAGGTCGCGCTCCAACGTCAGCAGATCCAGCCTGTCGCCGCCCACGCCCCCGCCGCACATGGCCCAACGGAATTTCTCTTTCAACAAGGTCTTCCGGAGGGCTCATGACCCGCCTACCGAGGAGGAGCGTGCCGGCCTGGTGATTGACGACGGTGGCGATGGAGGAGCCGTGTCGGATCAGGATCAGGATCAGGATCAAGATGGGCTGAATGATGATGGTAGAAGAGGAGGAGGAGGAGGAGGAGGAGGAGGAGGCGGTCATGTGGCTTTTGTATAAAGCTCGTCTTCTTCCTCTACTCCTTCCTTTTCTTCCTTCGTCTCCTTTTTTTGCATCTTTATCTGCATTAAGCGGCTTTTTTTCTTCTTTTCTTCTTGTATACCTGCGATCTGCGACATCGGCGTTGGTGGAATCTGGGAATAGAAAACGGCCGGTTCTTTATCCCTCTCTTTTCTCCTCCTTTTTCTCTTTCTTTTTTTTTTTTTCGCGCAGTAACATGAGGATTCTTGTCGGATTGACGGAACGGGGGAATTGTCATGACAATATTGGTATATATATATATATATATATTTATGTATTTAGCACTGTACTGCGTCCACGATTATGTAACGGACACGGGGGCTTTCGAAGAGCAATTTGAGTATATAGCTGGAAGATTTCTCGAGTATTTCCCCAGATGGCATTAGGGTGATTTGATGTGCAGTAGTAGTACTACTACTATTACTACTGCTCTACTAGTAAATTCATGGACAGAATTACGTCGTCGTCGATGGAACTCGGCGCTCGGAAAGGTCAGTGGGGCAGCAGTCGGACAAGCAAGTTACCCGTACACATTGCATATTCTCTCGTGCTTGATAAAACAATCCCCTCCCCCGCGCTCCGCGCCACAGCTAAAATACCTGTACAGATTACATGTAGCTGCATATCCCACTCTACATCCTTTATTATTCTGTCTGTCCCGTCCCCTTGCTACCCCTACCATCCCGGAGAGTCCGGAGAGAACCGACGGTGACGAGGACGAGGACGAGGACGAGGACGAGGACGACGACGACGACGGTCCGGGAAACTTTTTGTCGGACGACCGCAAGCGAGAGAAAAGGAGAAGAAGAAGAAGAAGAAGAAGAAGAAAAAGAAGAAGAAAAGTACCATGGGTGACGACAAGTCCAAGGCCCTCAAACTCAAGGAGGAAGGCAACCGGCACTTTTCGAAAAAGGACTACGTTGCCGCCGAGAGCTGCTACTCCCAGGCGTGAGTTTTTTTTTTTTTTTTTTGTCTCTTTTCTTTCTTTTCTTCTCTTTTTCCATTTTTCTCGTCTCTTTAATTCTTCACTCGTATCTCTACGCCTTCTTCTTTTTTGCCCCTTTGATTCTTCCATATGAAAGGTAGTAAGTAACCTTGGTTGACCGATATCGTATGTCATGCGCGGGAGACAACAACAGTCTAGTCGTCGACCCGAGCCTGACATCCCTGTACACCAACCGCGCCATGTGCCGCTTCAACCAGGGCAACTACGAGGGCGCGGTGACGGACTGCGACGTGTGCATCGGCCTGGACGACCGGTCCATAAAGGCCCACTACTTCAAGTCCAAGTCGCTCCAGGCGCTGGGGGCCGACCTCGACGCGGCCTGCCACCACGCCCAGAGGGCGTACGAGGCCTGCCGCGCTGTCGACGACAAGAGCCTCGACATGACCATGGCCCAGCTCCTGCGGTGCCGGCACGAGAGGTGGCAGCGCAGGGAGGCGGCCCGCCGCCGAGAGGCCCAGGACCTGGAGCGAGAGGTGCTCGACCTCCTGGCCGCCCAGACCCGCCGGGACGCCGACGAGGCCGAGTCCGACCTCGACAGGGCTGCCATCGCCGACGAGGGCGAGCAGAAGGCCCGGGCTATGCAGGCCATCTTCGAGCGCGCTCGCCAGGATGCCGACCGCAAGAGGGATGTGCCCGACTGGTTGGTCGACGACATCTCCTTTAACGTCATGGTCGACCCCGTCGTTGTGAGCTTCCCCCATCTCTCTTCCCTCTACTCTCTACTCTTCTCTCTTTCTCTCTCTCTCTCTCCCTCTCTCTCCATCTCTCCCTCTCCCTCTCCATATATATATATATATGATATGTCTGTTGTCTTGTGGAAGTCATCATCATCCTGACACTGACATTTGACAGACGCACACCGGTCGGTCGTACGAGCGCGCATCTATCCAGGCCGCCATCAACAACAACGCCGTCGACCCTGTCACACGCGAACCCCTCGCCAAGGGGGAACTCATCCCCAACGTTGTTCTCAAGCAGGCCTGTGAATGGTTCCTCGAGAACAACGGTTGGGCATATGACTGGTAACTTTTCCGTCTCTCCCACCACACACATACCTTTTTTTATTTTTTATTTTTTTACAATTGTGTAAAATTTTTTTATTTTTATTTCATTTCTATTTTCATTTTTTGGTTCTACTATCTCGTGGTAAGCGCAGCATCCAAGCGCTTTGGGTATGTTTCTTCTTCTTCTTCTTCTTCTCCCTCCACAAGCAATATGCATTCTTTTGGCACATTTTATCTTTCTGTTTTCTTTTTTTTTCGGCGGTAGACGACGAACAGTGGGGACGTTGTAAAACAACTCTTTTGGTAAGACACGGGAAGAAAGAACGATACGACATCTAGATATCTAGAGGCTCGGCGTATGACTTTGTGACTTTGTGACTCGGAACAACTGTCGTTTGAAGAATTTTGGCCTGACCAGCTTGGAGTCGACACCCACATTGATCCGGCACCGCCTACCCATCGTATATATATATAAATATATATATATACATCTTCCACCGAGAGAGTTACACCGAGAGAATGTGATGAGGGAAGGGGGGAAGAAGAAGAGAAGAAAACAGACAATAAAGGTTCTTGGCCAAAACCCGAAAAGCAAAAAATGAGAAAGAAAAGACTGGTTTCGCCCGGGATTGAACCGGGGACCTTCTCGGAAGAACAAAGCCTGCTAAAGACGAATTGTTAACGAGATGCCATGACCAACTAGACCACGAAACCAAGCTTGTGATGGTGCCGCACGACAACAACCATACAAGCCGTATGTTCCCAAGCGGCCCGGTGGCCTCCAGAACAACTGGGATGACACCCGGGGATCCCACGATGGGCCAACGAGACAACTTTTGGGACGGTCACCCCTGTGCGGCCTCGGCTCGGTGTGGTTGTGCGTGCCATCCTCCCCCTCCCCCGGCTCCCGTCTTGGCATCGGGTGTTGGACGGCATCCCGTTGTCTCTTGGTGCTGTTCTGACCATCTCTTTACCAGGAAATATTACGGCGCATCTGTCGTACGTAGCGGCCGGGCACGATCGCAAAAAGGCAGCACGTCAAGTATATGTATCATGCAGTGAGGGGTGACGAAGTTTGAAACCTTGACTGTCACCTTTCTTGTTGTTGTTGTTGTTGCTCTCTTCTCTTTCAACCAACTGTTTACTCAGATCTAGTCTCAATCACGAGTATAAGATGATACTGGCAGCTCTACCCCCCGTAGACCGGTTGACGATAACGGACCTGGTCATGATCATGATCACGACGCTGCTCCGTCTCCATCCGACCCTTCTGCCGGCCCTGCCTGCCGCCACCGGCCGGTTCAGTGCCCATCTCTCCAGCTGGTATCAGCCTGCCGTCTTCCATCTTCACTTCCGTCATGCTTGTCTTCTCGCCGATCAGGTCGCGGCTCATCGCTCCGAGGCGCGGGAAGGACTATCGCCTAAAAACCCTAACCCTAAAACCTGAGCAGGGGCAGGGTGGATTGACGCATTTCTACTCGGCTATCACTCTCTTGGGGGTTTTGATCAGTGGAGGCTATCGCGTTTTCTCAGCTCGTGTTGGCCATGTTGGCCATCTTTCCCTTTTTTCTTATTCTTCACCTAGGCAGGTCTCATATTTTGTAGAGGCGTCTTGGGGACATGTACGTTTTGTGGCCTCGGTTGTGAAGGAATGATGGGCGCCAATGGTTGACTCGTGTTTTATTTTTTATTTTTTACTAGGCACAGATCTGGGTCACATAATGCCATGAATGATGGGGAAAGAAAAAAAGAAGAAAGAAAATATAACAAAAGAGTCGAAGTGTATTGAGAGAGAAAGAAGAAGTATATAAAAAAAACGAAAAACGAAAAAAAAAAAAAAAAAAAGAAAAAAAAAAAGAAAACTCCGAATTACACGGTGTCTGCGTGTACCTGTGCATGTGCCCGTCTGTACACGTGTGTATGCCTGCATATGTTCCTCCACGTGTGTGTCTGTCTAATATCTGCGATCTGTACCTGCACCTGCCTGTGTTTTCATGCTCAACAACGTGGCGGTTCTGTAGAATGACAACAAAAAGTCCATGAAACGCCATCTTGAAATATAAAAAGAAAGGGGGGGAAAAACTGCCGGGTTAGGGGGGTAAAGTGAGAGAGAGAAAGAAAAAAAGAGAAAGCATAGAAAAAGAGGGTGGGAAAGAGAAAGAAGAGACAGACAGATCAAATTTCCGTCATCTGCAACTTAACCCTGTCCTTGGGCTTGAGAGTGAAACTCGGACTCTCCATCTCCAGCTCACCGACGTGCGTCGTGGCAAGCCTGTACTTGGACACGAGCTCGACAATCATGAGCTTCATCTCCATGTACGTCAGGGCCTTCCCGATGCAGACGCGCGGGCCATTGTGGAAGGTGGCGAAGGAGTAGGCTCCCCCGGCATCACCCGTCAGACGATCCGGGTTCCACCTGTCCGGGTCGAAGACGGCGGCGTCGGGGCCCCAGATCTCGGGCTTCAGGTTGACCATTGCGGGTACCAGGTTGAATCGCGTGCCCTTGGGGATGGCGACGCCGTCAATCATGAGATCGCAGGTTGATTCTCGGGGGATCCATTGGACTTTTTTTTTTTTTTAAAAAAAAAAAACAGTCAGTATATTCTCATCCTCCTTCTTGTGAATCTTTCGAATCGAGGGATGTAGAGATAACAAAGAGGCAGAGAGGGAGAAGAAGGGAGGGAGGAAATACCAGGACAGTAGAATCGCAAAGCCTCGCGCATGAAATTGTCGAGATAGCGAAGGCTATCGATTTCACCCCATGAGAGGTCCTTGAGGGAGGAGATCTCCCTGCGCAGACGATCTTGGATGTCGGTACGACGAGCGATGAAGTCAAGGGTCCATAACATGGTGCACGCAGTAGTGTCATGGCCTGTGTGTGTGTGGGTGTGTGTGTGAACAGATGTCACCTTTATGATTTCATTCTTGTCTTGTGTGCAACTCACCGAGGATCATGAAATTGAGGACCTGAAGATTAACATCATGTTAGTATATAAAACGACGTAAGATGAAGAAGAGGAAAACAAGAAAAGGAGAAAAGATAAAGAAGGGAGAACTCACATGCTCAACAACCTCGCCATCGTTCCAGAGACCGTCATTCTCCACCATGGCCTGCAGGAGAGCGGCATCATGCTCACCGGGACGACTCTTAGACCGCTCCCAGGCGCTTCGCCTCTCGCGGACGTGGCCGAGGATGAAATCGCGCGCGGCGGCGCACTTGGAGGCGAACTCGCTCAGGGCTTCCATGGGTAGCCAGGACCGGAAGGGCATGTAGGCCACCATCAGGCGGGTGACGTGGCCTCGGACGGTGGGACGCATGGTTGTGGTGAAGATGTCGTAGAGAGGGGAGTCGCCTGATCCGAGGTGGTTCAGGTCTGTGCCCATGGTCTTGATGCCGGCAATATCCAGTGTTGCCTTCCAGATTTCGGATTCAACTTTTTGTTTTGTTTTCCCCCTCGTCAGCTCAGCTAAAAAAAAAAAAAAAAAAAAAAAAAAAAAAAAAAAAAGAGCAAGCTCACTATCGACGGGGTCACCGGGGGTCATCCGCTTGGCGGCAAGCATGGTGGCCATCTGCTCGACCTTGGCGCGTACCCGAGGCTCGCACGCCTTCATTCTCTGAGGAGAGAAGAGTTCTGTAGTTTTTGTGATTAGAGAACACAATTCGTCAGCCGCGTCCCCTCCCCTCCACCGGTGGTCGGTAAGATCGGATCGTGCTCACTGTTCAGGGCGGTCCTTCGGAGTCGATGAATGTTCCCGTGAGACCATGGGAGGCCCTCCCCGATGACGATGATGGCACCGGTACGCGACTCGCTCGGCTTGACGAAGCATTCGGACTTTGTCTGCAGGATCTCGCGGTAGGCGGAGATGGTGTTGGGCACGAGGACCTCTGCGTTGGCCACCTTGAGGATGCGGATAAAGGGGCTGTCTGGGTAGCGGGAGCTGAAGTCGCGGTAGAAGTAGGGGATCCACGGTTTTGAAAAGAGGTTCTTTGCCTGGCCTAAGATCCAATGGTGGTTTTCCTGCGGTATGTCAGAGGGATGGTGCAGGTAGCAAGGCGAAACGAAGGAGGGGAGGAGGGGGGATGGTGAGAGGGAGAGTCGAACCGTTGGGGTCGGCAGGTGCCGTAGAGGAGAAGTGTAGAAAGGATAGATGTAGATGGAGTAGAGAGCCTTGACGGCATGGTAGACGATGAAGATTGCAGTCAGGACCAAGAGATTCTGAAGGGTGAGGACAGCGATGAAGTCTCCCGGGAGAGCGACATGGTGAGATGAAGGAGCCATGGTTTCTATGTCTGCCGTGTATGAGAGAGCAGTAGCAAGCGATGGAGGATATGAATGCGTCCCGAGGTTCCGACGATCCGGGCTCTCCCCTGTCAGGCCGTGTAAGATGAAGGCCAGAACGGGAAACAGGAGATTGAAGAGATGGTGTGTACTGTTGGTTCGTCTACAGGCAGGCCGCTGCAGATGACGGTGTGGTAATAGTTGGTAGTCTGTAGCTGCTGCCAGACTCATAAGGCAGCTTCCCCTCTTATATATCTAAGAATGTGAAAGATGGGAAGGGAAAGAAGAGGAAAGAAAAAGAAAGAAGGTGGCAGCTGATGAAAACTCAGACTGAAACTGAAAATTTGGAAGCAGAATCAGGTACAATGAGCACAGCTGAAAAAGAAAAAAAAGAATAAATAAAACAAGAAAATAAGAAATGCTGGTGAATGTCGTCGGGATTGGTGGGGAGTTTGGTTTTGGCCAACGCAACACGGCAAACAAGATGATGAGACGATAGAGAAGGGAGAGTCAACTTGGGCAGAATGTCAGTGCAAGGGGGGGGGGGGTGTGCGAGCAACAAGAGGATAAAGGAAGCTGGGAATGGGCTCGAGCGGAGGAGGATACGTCATTATATCACCATTAGTATAATATCATAATATCATGATATCTAGTAGTAGTCATAGCCGTATAACCGCCAGGTCCTTGACCGTCAAGACGTCTAGACATTGCTCTGTACTGGTACTCTGCAACGCTTGAGTAGGGGTGATAATAACAGTTGATATTCGTGACAGATTAACAAGAGAAGAAGAAAAGGTGCCCACTTTCCCTTATCGACGAATACCATCTCTCCGAGCACATGTCGGTGCTTCTTGTAGATCATGGGAAAGAAGAAGAGAAAGAGGGCAGCCAGTCGGAGTAAAGAGAAGTATGAGAGTGAAAGAGACGCATGTAAGGGCAGTCTATCTCGACGATAGTGGTATTACTGCTATTGGTAAGTAATTAATTCATGTATCGATACGGAGTAAATATGGTATTATAAACTTGATAAATACTATCGGTAAGATATCCACAGTTAACCAGCACTAGCAGTCACGGGAGGGATGGAGAGAGGATGGAGACGTATCATGCCATCATGGCGTTTTTATACATCTCACCAATCATCGTCACAGAGTCGCATTTCATCGTCCGAGTCAATTACATTAGTACGTGGGCTGGATAGATTGAATTCTATCGACAGTTTCTTCCGATATCCTCCTCCTCTGTCTCGGTCCTGGACTCGGTCTAGGTTAGTCTATAATATCTAATATCTGTCTACGGATAAGAGTATCATGATTCCGACAAAGGAACATTGTGTCAGTCGGTCTGTCGGTCGTTCTTTCCTTTTTTTTCTCTCTCTCTCTTTGTTTTTCCCCACCCTCTCCTTCCTTTTTTTCCCCCTTCTCTCCTTCCTTCTCTCTCTCTCTCAACCTCAAAGAAAGGAAAGAGAAAAAAAATCTAGAGAGTCAGTCATATTGTGCTTTGTGGGTCCGGTCTACAAAACCCTCCATTCATCTTCACCTCTCCATCATCATAACCCTTGACATTCTCTCTCCTCACAAATCATCCTTCCGGTCATGTCTGCCAGATAGACAGACAGATACACCCCCCCCCATCATCGACTCTTGACCCCGGTCTCTGGCTTTATTCCCTCTTCCATTGGACCCTACAACAACATACGAGTATACTCTGTATATACCGCATCGTCTGATCTCTCTCTCTCTCTCTCTCGCTCTCTCCCTCAAGAACAACACAGCCAGTCCCGACCATCACACAAGCGCCGTACGCCGTACAATATCACACTTCCCGCCAGTCATTCTCCACATATATCCGAGTGTGGTAATAGTCGTACACCATCACCTCTGTCTCATGCTGCCCTCTGGCCCTCTCGTTGTATTACATCCCCTCGCGCCCACCCCCATGTCCCTGGTGGGCCGTGGTGGAGACCCTCTTGGCGGACCGCGCCTCGACTCGGTCACCGGGCTGGAGAGCATTATTTTTTTATTCTCGTCGCCATCATCACGAGACGCCTCCTGTAGAGCCAAGTTGACATGTGAAGGAGGAGGTTATTGCCATGGCGGTCCTTGGCCCTTTGACGAAGCCGCTAACAGCTCTGCTCATACGAATCAGCTCTGTGCACTGCGCACCGTCACCCACCCGCCTAGATCGAGGTGAAGAACAACCCCGCCATGTCTCAACTAGTATTATGGTCTCGGCGCCGACACCTGCAAATTCATATCAACACGCGGGCGAAGAAATGTGCGAGTGAGACGGACGGCAACACACGCGCGCGACGGCGAGACTCCTGCCCGGTGTAGCGGTTCCTTCTCTGCCTCTATACAATACAAGATGCCACCACTGAGTTGAGACTTGGAAGAGTAATACAACCACCTCGAACCGTTTCCCGGCAGTATGGTACCCTGACACCAGTACCGCGGTCACACCGGCATGCTGCAGCGATGCAGAGAAAATTGACTCTCTGACAAGCAAGTAGGAAAAAGAAAGGAAAAGAGAACATCTCAGTATCGTTTGTCGATGCGTATTATCACTCGCACGTACCCTGCATCTTCTGCAGCAGCTGTTTTTCCTCTTAGTCCAGCGCAGGGGTTTGCCTGGTCCGGCCCACGTTGACCTGCTATGAATATTATTATTACCTACCCTCCGCAGTCTCTGCTTCTATTTCTTTATTTCTCATGTTTCGGTGGCACCTTTCCAGGTCAACAGGCCAATCCTGTGGGCCGACGAGACGAGACACGAAGCTATCATATTTCCAACGACGACAGACGCGGAGCTGTCATATTTCCAACTTGAAGAAGATGTCGATGATGCAGGCCCTGTCACGAGCATCAAGTCCGTTTTCCCCCCTCCCATTTTCAGCCGAGCTGGGGGGGGGGAGGGTTAGAATACTCTCTGACCACCCTCTACGACCATCTCTCCCCGAGGAAAAAGAAACGAGAAGAAGAGAAGATGGGGAGAAAAAGAAATGTTGAGCAACCCTTGCATCGCCATCCTTATTCCAACCAGTGGAGGGGGGGGGGGCAATGCTGAATAATACGGTAATCCTCCGTGTGTCTGTACCTCCAGGACCCATGCACTCCGTAATATCAGTCCACGGACCAGGGATCACGGACAGAAGGGCGAAGGTCAGGGATAGACAGTTTCTCTTACTCCATAAAGTCTCTTGCGGTGTAACAGTGACTCCCGTGAGATCTGCAGTCGTCTCATTGGATAGCGATCGGTAAGATCTCCGGGCAAATCATTGCATTGTATTCCATGATTATCGTCATAGTGGGGTTGGGCAGCATCCATCCAGCCCTAGCTCCAGCCAGCTCCAGCCAACTCCAGCCAACTCCAGTAGCCGGTCCCAGAGGGTCCCAGACTGAACAAAAGCAAGTCACGGCATGATGAATACATAAAAGCTAGTACTGAGACATGAAGGATAAGCAAGCGTATATATCGAGAACAAGGGAGGAAGAAAAGGGACAAGAAAAAAAAAGAGAAGAAAAAAATAGAAGCAGAAAAGTGATGTTAGAAATAACAATGATAATACAACATAATGGTAAAATAATAACTAGATTAAAATAAATTACAATAAATTATAAGAGAGAGAGAAACGAGGAAGAAAAGCAGGATGAAGAAAAGGAACAGACGAGAGAAGTGGCCGAGATGGACGGTATGCTAACCGCCAGCCCAAGACCTTCTCACTTCGGGCATCTATCCAAAACGAGTCAAGTCGATATAAGGCCCGACGTATCACACCATGACTCAACCTCCCCCCTGGTCTCTGGGTCTCGTCGATCAACGGCGCAACCCTCTATTTTTTTCTCCTTTCCTTCTTTTTCTCTTCTCCTTCCCCACCCATGCCTCTCTCCCTTCTGCATGCGAGGGAAGGATGACGTCCTGGTGGGGTTGAGACTGCAAGTGACCCTGGCCTGTCTTGAGATCCAGTCGGGGTGGGGGGGGGGGGAGTGCTCAGGATGTGCATGTATGCGTCATCGGAGTAGCCCCCCTTTCAAGCCACTGGGCCATCCTAGACGTCGCCAGACGGCTCTCATGCAGACAAGGCGACAGCGACGGCCAAGAGTGCACCATCCCCTCGCCCTCCAGGAGCTCTATCTCTCCGCAGCCCTGGTCGGCGGCCAGACGTACCAGCCTCCTGGCCTGGCAGGCGAGCATGTCCATCTCGGCGACGAGGACGAGCATGCGCGGCAGACACGCCAGGTCACCATATACAGGGCTGACGGCCGGGTCGCGCAGGTCCCCGACGTCGGGACACAGCATCCTGACCACCTCCCTCAGTCCGGGCAGGGCGTGGAGCGGATCGGCGACGGCGACGGCGACGGCCCCGGCCCCGGCCCCGGCCCCAGCCCCGGCCCCAGCAGCCGGGTCGTCCGAGCCGGAATCAGGTTCGTCCAGGGAGAGATCGACCATGGGCGTGATGAGGACGATGCCGTCCACCTTCCCGCCGCCGCGCTGCGCCAGGCCGAGGGCCAGGTTCCCGCCGGCCGAGTCCCCCACGATGTACAGCGGGACGCCCTCCCGCGCCGCAGTGGCGGCCATGTCGTCGTGCAGGGGCCGCAGGACGTCGTACATGTAGGCCATGTCGTGCTCCGGCCCGAGCGGCAGCACGGGCACCGTGACGGTGGCGTCGAGCCGCGACGCCAGCGCGCCCGCCAGGTCCCACTGGCCGCGGTGCATGGACAGCACGAGCGGCCCGCCGTGCAGGTACAGGATCCGCATGCGGTGCGCGCGCTCCGACTTGGCCGACAGGTCGTACACGGCGTGCAGCCCGTCGGATATGCTGCCGTCCTCCACGACGAGGGCGGCCCGCAGATGAGCGGGCGGCTGCTGGCTGGCCGCGGTGCCGGATGCGCGGTCCTCCGCGATGCGCCGTCGTAGGGCTGCGGCGGATCGGAACGAGCCCTTTTCGAACAGCCAGGTGTACCATGGTACCACGTAGGCTAGGAAGCTGTGCATCCTCTCTCCCTCTCTCTCTCAATCTCTTTTTTTTTCTACTATCTTCCCTCGTCTCGATTTCGTCTTGGTTTGATGTTCTTGTCTGGTGATGACATTCAGGGTTGAAGCATGTGGATGATCAGATAGAGTTCACCAGGATGACTCTTACCCATGTGCGTGCTCTCTCCCCCCCCCTCCCCCCGCGCGTCGTGAGACGCCTGGTGCATGATGGAGGGTTCGAGCGTCTGCAATGCCCTTTGGTGTAGATTTAATGCGTGGGACTTTGGTCTTGTATGGGATGTGATGCACTTGGTGCCTCAGGTTAGGGGTTGATGTAGGGTAGGCAGTGCAAGTGTGCCTGCTCAACTGTAATATATATTATAGGTGATGAATTGTTCTACAGATCGGATTTCTGTATCTCTTGTCCTTCTTCTTCTCCTTCTCTTGTAATAGTCTCATTCGTTCCATTAAAAAAATTTCAACATTTGTTAGTATTCTTCCATGTTTCTCGATATATTTTGGCTCTGTTTCATTCCATGGTCGCCGCCAAGATCGGGTTATTATTAGATGTTGGGTGCCGTAAGGCTAAAGAAGTGGGAAATGTCGCTCCCATTTCGGGTAGTTGCCCTATACGGCCATAGCGTTGCACTACTTCGTCTTGAATATCAAGACTTGACAGGATTCAGAATGCATCCGTACTTGACCGCTACCAGGCAGCAACGACAGCTATGACATGATAGGTGATACTCCCAAGTCTCAGCATGTGCGGCCCCGTCCACGGGGAACGACGACCGCAACCTCGGGACAGGGCATCGCAGCCCCCGATCCTATGGACAGCCTGATGAAGGGAGATCGAGACGTGAGACGCCGATGTGAGCATCCCCTCATCTTCACCCTTCTATGATGAGTGATGGCCAGTTGGTGGACTCGGCTGTAGAGTGCCAGAAGTAAGGCGTGGCCTCTAGAGGAGATGACCGTGGGCGGGGAGGTCCTGGGAGGAATATTCGGCCGTCTCCCCGACGAGGACGTTCTCGACCGCGCATGGTTCGGGCCCCAAAACTCTCCCCAACAGCACGGGCGATGCGATGCTCAAGACGGCCCCCGGGAAGCACTGCCACTGTACTGACCAGCAGCGTACGGGACCACATTCGCTCAGGGAAGATGACGCCGAGGAGGTCTCCGGCAGGACCGTCGACTGCAGCACCTCCATTCCGCAAACGAGACTACAACGGCTCGAGGCCAGCATGGGAACTATGGCCTAGGACTCTGGGAACTCCAGTCTGAGCTCGTAGTGGAAGCTATGCAATCTCAGCTCAATATCGACCTCTTCCTCCAGGTATTCATCGATCAGGAAAGACGGGTGCCCCGACGACCACAATTTGAAAAAAAAAAAAAAAAGGCTACCGCTGAGGTGGAGGCTGTTTATTCCCACCCTGCAAAGGCACCATCGCAAGGTGGCATTGTCCAAGTCACGATCGTCAAATCTGGAAAGGTGGAAACCAAGCTATCCCGCTCTCCGTCGGCCGAATCGAGCAAACGAAACTATGCTTTCGAACGGACCAGTGATATGCACGTCGGACACATAGTTACGACATTGAGAAGTAGCTACATTATCTAGGAACGGTATCATATCTGTTGAGGGTGAACACCTTGGAGAGAGGGAATAAGAAATTGGCCATCATATTATAATGGCTCACTCCTTTTTACACTACGCTACTCAAATAATGGCAACAAGTAGTGAGCCGTACGAGTATTGTTACATCGCCATAGTACCGATAATGACTATGATATTACAACATCTGCCGAGTGCTACCATGCTAAAAGAAAAGTTCGAGTGATCGGCGAAACATGCATGTAACTCAATGTCAATATGACCATCACACTACCTTGAGGGACGCACCTTGATGGCAGTCAGTACGGAGCAAGCCCACAACCCCGCTGGATGTCGATGGGGTCGAGACGATAAAAGACTGTTTTCGATGAGGTTATGAGAGTTGTTGTAGGGGAAATATGCTCATTGTGAGCCATTTTTTGCGGCATTAACAAGTCGACTCGGTCGTCTATTGATGTGCACATCTCGTGTGCCGAGAAGGAATATAAAAACCGGCATGCACGCACGATGTTTAGCCATGAAAAGTTTCCTGGTCGTGCCAATCGGTAGTACCGTCGGGATTGGAAGCGGAATACAGCAGACGCCAAAAGATGACCTTTCTCTCGGCCTCGTCCATACTTGCCCTGTGCTTGACGGCATGTGCCAAGCCCGTGCAGCAGCGGCAGCAGCAGCAGCAAAGCCAGCGTGATGTTGCCGGTGACAGCCCGCCGCTCCTAGAGCAATTCGACAGCCTAGGCAACTGGTTCGACGGCGTGTCCATGATCAACGGTTCTTCGTCGCTCCCGCGCAGGCAGAACGCTACCATCGCCATCGTAGGCGCCGGCGTGTCGGGGCTGACAACGGGCCTGTTGCTGGACAGCGTGGGCGTGCACAACTGGGAGCTGGTGGAGGCCAGCGACCGGGTGGGCGGGCGCTTCCGGACCGTCTTCGTCGGCGGCACGGACGAGTACGCCGAGATGGGACCCATGCGGCTCCCGTACACCGTGACGTACAAGAGCGACAACTCGACGCACGAGTACACGGATCACCGACTCACCTTCGATCTCGCCGAATGGCTGAACGAGCTCAACGGCAACGACCCGCAGTGGAAGGTCGACTTCATCCCCTGGATCCAGCACCACCCCAACGAGCTGAGCGCCCGCGGCACGGGCAGGCACCCGGACGGCAGGATCCCCACGCGCGCCGAGATCGCCGCCGATCCCAGCCTCGGCAAGAGCCCGCAGCCGGTGGAGTCGACGGACGAGTACAAGCGGATCAAGGGCTTGATGAACGGCATCCTCATGAACGAGACGACCATGCGGTCGATGCAGCGCAACGTCTGGCGGGCCCACAAGAGGGCCATGGACGAGGGGCTGGACGACTGGAGCCAGCAGGCCATGATGCGCAACGCCTTCCACGCGAGCGAGGACGTCACGGACGCCATCTGGACGGCATCGGACTACGACGTCTTCTGGGACGAGATGGACCACAACTCCAACCTGGCCCAGGACGGCTCCGACAGCTCTCTGGGCCTGACCGAGTGGAGGTGCGTCGACGGCGGGTTCAACCGCCTGTCGGACGCCTTCATCCCCCACGTCTCGGACCGGCTCAGCCTCAACCGAAAGGTCACCAAGCTGGAATCGGTGGATGGCCACGACGGCGGCAGCGACAGCAAGAAGACGCGCCTGACCTGGGAGGAGGGCGCGGGCGAGGATCGCTCCCGCACCTCGAAGGATTACGACTACACCATCATGGCCGTGCCCTTCACCATGACGCGCTTCATGGACCTGCCCGACTTCTCGCCGGTTCTGGACCGGGCGATTAGCGAGGCCGGGCTCCGCTTCAAGTCGGCCTGCAAGGTGTCGCTCCTCTTCAGCGAGCGCTTCTGGGAGCGCGGCGAGCGGCCCATCTTTGGCGGCAAGAGCGAGCCGGACAGCGACGCCGTCGGCGCCCTGTACTACCCCGTCTACGGGCTCAACGAGACGGGCCGGCCGGGCCTGATCACGCACTACCGCGGGGGGGACTGGAGCGACCGCTTCGTCAGCTTCACGGACGAGGCGCACGTCTCGATGGTCCTGGAGTCCATCGTCGGCCTGCACGGCGAGCAGGCCCGCGACCTGTACACGGGCGACTACGCGCGCCTGTGCTGGCTGCAGGACGAGCACACGTCCACGTCGTGGTGCCGCCCCGACGTCGAGCAGCACAAGCTGTACATACCGTCCTACCACCGCACCGAGCACAACACCATCTTCATAGGGGAGCACACGGCCCCGACGCATGCGTGGATAAGCTCCTCCATCCACTCGGCCGTGCGGGGATCGATCCAGCTCCTGCTAGAGCTGGGCATGGTCGACGAGGCAAAGGTGTTGAATGAGCGGTGGATGGGACGATGGATCGGAGTCGAGTAAGGGGGGGGGGGGGTGGCGGCATTTTCACATGATCTCCGTATTACCCCGCGTTGGGGTCCAGCTTCTCCTATCTGTTCACAGTGGCAATAATCAGTACAGTAGTATTACTAGTACGAAAGTCTGCAATAGTACGTGGCGGTAACCAAGGTAAAAAGATGGATAGAAAACATATGTGAACAAAATATATCCAGACGTAACCCGTCAATCTGCTGTGTTTTTACTAAATCACTCCCCGGGGCGGGGGGGAAGGGGAAACGGCTTCGAATCCATAAGGCTCAAAGGTGTGCCAGGCCAGTCGGAACCCCGCCATTACTCATTCCGGCTTTCGCCGACCCAGAAAAAAAAATGGCCCGTCACCGACGGACGGGCGGGTAGAATGGGGGAGGGAGCCCTAGCAGAGAAGACGTCACAAATTTGGCCTTTTTCACCCCTACCTTTCTTCCTCACTCCCTCCCCACACACACACACACTCAACTGACCTTATCAGATCCTGCTTCCCCTCCATCACGCTATTCTTTCTTCTTCTCTTCATCTTGTACTATTAGACTCTGTTTTCTGATTGAAGAGATATATACACACGACTCCACGTCTAGGGACCGAGATAAAGGAACAAGAAAAAAGCCCTCTCTCTCGACAGCAATCATGCCTTCCCAACGACCCTTCTTCTTGTCCTCCTTCATCGCCGCCTTCCGCCAACAAGCGCCTCCCATCCAGTCATCATCCTCTCAGCAGCCGAACAAGCACCACGGCGGCGGCGGCGGCGGCAGCGGCAGCAGCAGCGGCAGCAGCAACAGCACCGCTGCCGCCAACGCCAACAACAACACCGCCACCGCGACAGCGACGGCATCGACGCCGCTACAGGCGTCATCAGCAGCATCATCACGCCGCTCCCCCTCCACCGCGGCTTCTCGCCACCACCGCAACGCCTACCCGGCAGCAGCATCGTCATCGCCCCAACGCTCGGCGGGTATTCCCATCCAGAACAGTAACGGCAGCGGCAGCCATCGGGCTGACGGGAGACGTCGCGGGTCAGACAGCAGCAGCGAGGGGTTCCGAGATGCCATCGGTGCTGATAAGTGGTATATCGGCGGCAGGACGGCCGCCGGCGAGGAGAGGTTCTTCAAGCTCGGCGTCGTGAGGAGGGTGCGCAGCAATGACGGTCTCAGCCTCGATCGTCTGAGCCTGTGAGCCGCTGACTCGTGATGGGTGACGGCCAAAGGAGAGGAGAAGAAAGAAAACGTTTTATATGAAGAGTGATGTTATACATGTATGGAATTATGATGGTTCAAGGGACTGCAGGGACGGCGTTATGCAACAGGCATTTTTTCATCGTGTTTTTTCTTCTTCTTTTTCTTTTTCTGCCTTGTTTTATTTGTTTGGGGGGTTTTTTTTTGTTGACGACAAAGGTTGGCACTACGGAATCAATGTACAACATCTTACCAGACAAGAAGAAACATGTTTTATACTCCCTACTTCCTTCTATCTCTATCTCTCCGTCTATCTATCTCTATTACCAGTGTACATACAGGCCATCACCACATGAACCGCTGCCATCGTCCCTCGTCGAGAAGTGTCCCGTCCTCTGCCCTCCAATGGTACGGCCGGAAGAGGAACATGTACATCGTGAGCGCGTTGATGACGACGAACCAAAGCGTCTCCAGGACAAGTCTGATGTCATAGCTGTCCCCTCTCCCACCCGTCCATCGCCGTTCGGGCACGAGCAGTCGCCAGAAGACCCACGGCACGATGAAGTACCTCGGCTCGACGAGCGGAGCCGTGACCAGGGACAGGGTAGTGGCGATGAGGATCATGAGACCGGTAGAAGCGGATACGGGCTCTGCCGAGGATGGCTGTAGGGGCTTCGACTCGGCCCTTTCTCTGTCCGCACTGACGAGCGGGTGGTTGAGGAAGGAGGCCGGAGCCCGAGCCGGTGCAGAACAACCGCTCAGCGTGCCCCAGATGACCCAACGGCAGGCGGTGTACGGTGCCACAAGCGCGTAGCGGATCCACGTCGCCCGCCGGATGGTGTATCGGAAGACGTAGAACATGTAGTGGCGGTTGTCGGCAAGGGTGAACGGGTGGATAATGGTGTTGAACTTGACGACGAGGGCCGAGGCGACAACGGTGCCACCGACGTAGAGAGCCGACGCAGCCATCCTCCACAGAGGGACTGCTTGGTAGCAGCTCTGCAGACCCCGGCATGCTACCGTGTAGGTCTGGTGGAGGAACGGCAGCGCGGCGAGAGGAGCGGAGAAGAAGGCAAAGAATGGCCAGATGTAGAGCATCTGCGCGAGGTGGATCGTTGCGACGTGGTGTGACTTGTCGCCTGCCATCCGCCACTGTCAGCATACGGTAGTCGGGCGTTTTGTGCTGGTCGACTCACCAAGGACAACCCCGCCGTTCCAGGCCACGAAGCCTGCAAACGCCACCAGGACGGTGATGTGAGGCCACACCTGCCTCAGCACGCGGAGGGGGTTGCAGACCGCTGCGATGACGAGGCTCAGAGCCGTGAAGAGCATGTCTGGTATCTGTCAGTGTTCTCTTGTCCCGGGGATTGTGTGGTCGGAGGGGGTGGATGTCTCACCGTCCGGCCAGGCCATATCCAGAGGCGGATCATGCACCTCGCCGCGAGAATACTTGCCCGCGTACAGCCTGATGCCATCCGCGAAACCGGTGGGCTGCCGCGTCGGCTGCCGCGTCGGCTGCCGTGCCTTCCGCACACTCTTGACAGCATGCACGGCCTCTAGACCGCCCAGGAAGACGACGGTCCAAAAGATATTTGTCTGTCTCATCAAGAGCGAAGCGAGTCCCAGGATGACGGTCAGAACGTCACTGAATAGAGACGGCTTGCCACAGCTGCTGCGATCCATGCGCTGGAGAGAGTTGAGAAAGGCAGCCACGACGACGGCAGCAGACGCCACATCGGTGTAGTACAGGCCGCCGAAGAAGAAGATGACGGGGCAGATGGCGATGTTGAGAGCGCTGTGAAGAGCGTATCCCGAGGGCGGGGGGAGACCAGCTGAAGAGGACGGCTCGTGGCGGGCCTCGATGCGCCGCCGCACCTCGAGACAGAGGTAGGCCAGACCTGCGAGGCACAGGGCGTTCACGCCGCGCAGAGACGCCGTGTCGCAGGCAAAGGCTTCCTGGAAGGAGGCTGCCATCATGTTCTTGGGAACAACGAGCGATAGGAGGTACCTGGTCGTGGAGCGGGTCAGTCGTGGTCTCTGGTCCGGACTCTCGTGTTTCCGAACATACAGCCCCGGGGGTGTCGTTATCTTGTCATCCCACTCGGCGAACCGGCCCTCGCAGTATTTCTGCGCCTGGGGCACATGGAATATCTCATCCTACCCCAACGTTAGAGATAACATCACTCTCATCCGAACAGATGGACGGGTGGACTTTTCGTCTCGAGCACTGACCAGATACGGCTCGGGCACATATCGGGAGGCGACGTGGCCCCATATCCTCGACGAAGCAGCCACGGTCACAAGGACGGCTGCTACACGAGCTGCGACAATATTGCTGGGCCATTGTAATGATATCAAGGGTGATATCAGGACGCATGTTGTCAATACGGTTCCTGCCGCTTCGTCCCAGCCAAATCGCCCAGACATCGTGGAGACGTGTCAGGGATGGTGGGAATGAGTCTGAGGGAAGAACGAGGATGTCACACCATGAGCATGAGATGGGGCGGTATACGGACTCATATAAGATCTCAGAGGGACTTCCCTATAGAATCGGAGAGAGAGAGAGAGAGAGAGAGAGAGAGAGAGAGAGAGAGATGGGATTTCTGGCTCACCCGCCGATAAAGACGCTGTTTTCATATGCTCTGTACAACGTCCTCGAGACGTTTAAACGCGCCTTGTGTTATGTGAGAGGACAGAGAAGTACAGTATGTGGACAGTGTTTAGCACAGTGCACGGAGTACGCAAGGAATCATACAGCCGAAGTAGAGTGAAAAGAACATTTCAGCAAGTCGCGATTCAGACTTCCATTCTTCTGGGATTTCGCGAATCCGCTTTGGGCCATGTCTAGTATTACCGGCAACGCTTGATGAAGAGAAGTCACAGCGAGACACACGCACACACAAATGCCATTCACAGTGAGTTTAGACAGAAGGGAAGTCTATTGTGAGTATTATCTTATACAAGTGTTGCGGAAAGGCCCGCGGTTACACGCTCTAGTCCATGGACGAAACATCCGTTGGAAACGATGAGTTTAGAAGGGCTGAAAGAGAGAGTGCGTGGTTAGTCCGACTGAATCCCAGACAGAATCATGGCAAAGGTGGAAAGGGGGCTGCTGCAGAGGAAAAGAAAAGCACCCCCCCCCCCCCCCAAAAAAAAAAAAAAAAAAACCAAAAAAAAAAAACTTACGTTGTCGGCAGGGTGGATCTCCTTGACAAAGTAGGAGCCGATGAAGGGAACCTTCTGTAGCAGGAATCAGTACATATGACAGGTCCACACCATGCCCTGCAGTCTCGTCACGTACCTGGAGGATGTCGGTCTGGATACGGGGGATGCCAGAGGTGTAGAAGAGGGCGGCAACGCCGAGGAAGCCACCGAAGGCAGCCGACTTGGCCGAGCTGTTGAAACGCACAAACACACAATGTCAGCTGTCGATCCTATTCTCGGCTGCAGCTCCTCCTGTCCCGGTACTCTGACGGTGAAAGCCACGGAGAAGGGGGCTCGGAATCCTGTCGAGACTTACTACCGCGTGAAAGTCTTCAGGGTGATACCGCCCAGGTGAGGTTGGAACTGGTACCTAGGCAAAGAGGGGTCAGCATCCATGGCCTTGTCATGTTCATCTCTTCCTGCTCTCCCTATCCTGCATCAATTCAAGCCGCTGCAAGGAGCCATGCGTTCCTCCTTCCCTCCCTTTCCTTTCCCCGGCAAGCCTTGCTTTCGCATCGATAGAATAGACGGTAGACGAATGGGGTATGCGGGGGGGAGACGTACTTGGGGCCGTAGGCGCTGCGGAACTCGGCGGCGCGGAAGGGGGTCTAGACGAGGTAGCCGAAGACGTTAGCCAAGCACGGGAAGGTTGGGTCGTGTAAAAAGTCGCACAACGATCATCGAGGGAGAGAGGGTAGACTGTCAGTCGGTAGGTTGTCTTGCACGTACAGGGGAGACCATCTTGACGGTTTGGGGATGGAGCGGTAGTTGAAGAAGCCGGTCGGCGTTCGATCAATTGACAAGTTGGGATGGGAGTGAAGATCAAGAATTATTCTGCGCGAGTTTGGGGGGGGGGGGGGGGGGGGGGGGGAGAGGGAAAGAAGAGACAAAGGCCAATTCGGCAAAAGCCGGAGTTTTCCCAGAGGGTCAGCCAGAAGGCGGCCAATGACATTGGATGGGAGGTTATCGAACTATGGCCCCACTTGAGCTGCTTTCAGATCTCTTTCGTTGCAGGCGAATGAGGTGAACAGTAAGTAATGATAGTAGGTACATGCTTTCAGATGCTTCAACGCCGCATTATCTTCATTCAGCCTCACTGCATCGCCGACATCATGGACACATTCATCGACGGCCGCTTCGAACGGCTCCAACGAGCCCTAGCCAGCCTGATCGACTCGGTGAACAAGTACCACCCGTCGACCATCCAGGCTGGTGAACTCCAAGCTGCCGACGAGGATCTCTGCAGGGGGCTTGAACAAGGTAAACAACAACGATAACATACTACTGATACTTGAAGGGTCGAGAGGAACAACACAGTTGCTGACAGTTACGCGAAACAAAACAAAAACCAAAAAACCCCCCAAAAAAAGTCCAGACCCATCAGATCAACCACCTCCGCATCCAGCAGCTCCGCAAATCCTCCACCGCCCTAGACGACCAGATCAAGGACACGCTGTCTAGCCTAGCCTCTACGCGCCGCGACATCTCGACGACCCACACGACCACCTTCCCCGACGGGCCCAACTACCCCGTCACGTACGAGGAACTCCTGAGCTATGCGCGGCGGATCAGCAAGACGACCATGGCGCCCGCCGGTGCCGTGAAGCCGCCGCCGTCGACGGCCCCCGCTGGCATGGCCTCCCCGGACATCCAGACCCCCATGACCACCGCCTCCGCGGCCCCGACACCTTCCCAGCCGCAGAGTCCGTCCGTGACGAACGGTCCCGCTGCCGGTGCTACCGCTACCGCTACCGCTACTGCCGGTGCTGGTTCGTGGCCCTCGTCAACCCCAGCACCGGCTACCGCTCAGCCGCAGAACGCCAACATCACCCTCCCCGACGTGGTGAGCCAGTACCTCAACCCTCTGTCCGGCCAGCTCTTCTTTCCCTGGCCCCCGGAGGAGAAGATCCGCGGCGGCGCCCTGGCGTCCAACCAGATCCTCGAGGACAAGGGGATAGACCCCCGCGGGTACGACCCCGCCGAGGAGGAGGAGCGTCTCCGCAGGGAGGACGAGGCCCGCAAGGAAAAGGAGGAGAGGGACCGTCTCGAGGTCGAGGAGAGGGAGCGCAGAGCCCGCGAGGAGCGCGAGCGCATGCGCCAGGAGAGGGAGCGCCAGCAGGAGGAGTGGCGCAAGGCGAGCATCTCGGACGCCTCGCCTGGTACCGCCGGTGCCGGTGCTGCACCGGCCGACGCCGCCGCCGCCGCGCCTGCCCCGGCTGCTCCCGCCGAGAAGAAGCAGTTCCAGTTCACCAGTCTGGATGACCTCGATGACGATGACGACGACTAGTCCCGGAATCATGACCGCAGGACTTCTCTCCCTACGCAGCTGTAACTTCACGTGGCATAACAGATACCCATCCTCAATTCGCGCCCACTCCTCTTGGTGAACGATTGTGTTGAGCTATAGAGAAATCTGCTCATTGCCGTAAACCCCCATCTATTTAGTTCGGTCGCTACACTGTCCATTCTCTGTCAAAGGTCCTCGGCATCTCCCCCCTTTCCTCCCCTTTCACTCCCGTGTTGCCGGCCGGTCCAATCATAAGAAATCAAAACGAGAAAGGTGTGGAAAAAAAAAAGAATGCTTTTTGGGATTTCATATAAGCCAACGCCATCGGTACATGATATTCTTACACACCAGCCTTACCCCCGGAGAGGGGAGAGTGCTGGCCGTTTCTCCCCAGTGGTAGGCAGTATTTCCGTGGGGGAGGGTTCAGTTGTCAAAACGCTTCTCGCCTCCTGACAAGGATACTTTAGTCAATCTTGATAGACTTGTAGATCCTCTGGACGAACCACCAGCTAGCAAGGTATCCAATAGTACCTATACATATCTTGTCAGTAACGTAGGGAGGAAAGGGAAGGAGGTCATGGCACGGTATAGGCAAGGTAGGAGAGCTCACCAGCAAGGACGAAGAAGAGCAGCGAAATAAGGGCGCTGTATCCGACGTACAGAACCGTGCCGGCCAGACCGCCGAGCTTGACCTTGGTGATGAGGTAGAGCAGACAGTTGAGGAAGATGTAGCCTCCGCTCATCCCGGCGGCGATGAACGACCTCCACTGCCAGTTGTAGTTCTCGGCGCACAGGAGAAAGTAGGTCATGAGGATGGTGACGCTGGCACACACCATGATCATGAGGACGTAGCAGAGGAAGAGGAATCCGAACATGTAGTAGATGCGGCTGAACCAGATGGAGCTCATGATGAAGTAGAGCTCGACAAAGATGGCGCCAAAGGGCAGCAGGCCGACGATGAGTACGCTGGGGACGGGCTTGAGGTAGGTGGTGACGGGGGGGATCTGGCGGGGGATCTGGTTGGTGCGAACGGGGGGCTCGATGGGGACGGCGCGGAAGCCCAGCCACGATCCGGCAAAGGACAGCGGGATGGAGATGATGAACCAGATGCCGATGATGACGAGCATGGTGGTGAAGGGCACGGCGCCGGACGACTGCTTGGCCCACAGGAACAGGTTGAGGAAGAAGAAGGCCGAGAAGACGATGCCCGGGATGAGCAGGGGCGTCATGGCAATGTTGAGCTTCCACTGGTCGCCCTGGAAGGACTTGTAGACGCGGGCCGAGACGTAGCCTCCGACGAAGCTGAGCACCGTGTACAGCAGCACCATGATGGTGCCGAGCGAGCCGCGGTTCGAGGGCGACAGGAAGCCCAGGAGCGCAAAGATGATGGTGGAGCCCGTCATGACCAGGAGCTGCGATCCGTTCCCGAGCAGGACCGACAGAAGCAGGGGTCGCGACGGGGTGCGGAAGACGTCGCCGTGCACCAGCTTCCAGCCCGAGTCCTCCTGCACGCCCTCCTCCTCGAGGGCAGAGGTGCCGTTGAGGTCGTCGAGGTTGATCTGGTCGAGACGGTTGTAGCGCGCGATATCCCTCTTGAGGGTGCGGACGAGGATGGACATGACGGTCATGACGAGGATGACGACAATGATGGCCGTGTCGATGAGCCAGAACCAGTGGATCTTGGGGTCGAAGACGTGCAGGTACTTGTCCCAGCGCGTGGCCCAGGCCGTCTCGGAGCGGTGCCAGTAGACGCTGTAGCTGAACTTGACCTCGGTGGACTTGCCGTCGTCGGCGAGGACGACGCTGGCCACGTTGTCGGAGCAGTCGGCATCGCCGGGGTAAGCCTTGGAGGCGGGCTGGACGATGACGCCGACGACGCGCAGCTGGTCAGCGTCGCGGTTGACGAGGTGGTACTCGACCCAGATCTCGTAGTGGTTGTTGAAGACGACATTGTCGGCATCGTCGTCCTGACCCATGAGGAAGCCGGGGCTGTAGAAGGTGGCGCCCGTCAGCTGGTCCTCTATCTGCTGGCCGGCGGGGAGGCCGTCGACGAGCCAGTTGAGGCTGTAGCCCTGCTCGACCATCTGCTTGACGAAGTTGGTCTCCTCGGCGTCGTAGCTGACGGAGCACAGGGGCTTGCACGTCTCGTTCTGGGCCATCTTGAGGTCAAAGGGCGACGTCATGATGCGGTCGCCAAACAGGATGCTGCCCAGGCTCTCGGACACGTATTCGGGGCCATTCTCGGGCTGGCAGAACTTGAAGGCCGGGTGGTAGTAGTCGTACGACACGACCGAGTGCAGACGCGAGTCCTGCGGCGACGCCACGGGCCTGATGCTGTTGACGTAGAGGGGCACCTGATCGCCGGGCCTGTACGAGGTCGGGGCCACGCCAGGGAGGTAGAATGCCGAAGCGAGTTGGGGGCCGGCCGCCGCGAGGAGCGAGACCAGCAGCGCCGACGGCGCCTTGTCGTTGAAGAACATGATTATCTTTCTCGAATCTCTATATCTCGTTGGCGGTTCGTCGTTCTCAATGCCAGCATATCATGTCGCGATCGAAAGGAGGTGGACGTTGGAAGATAGTTCGAAGCTAGGATCAATAGCTTGGCACTATGGAGGAAAGATAGCGGAGGCAGCCAAGGAGCCAAACAGACCGTACAGAGACAGTTATGGTGGTAAGCACTGAGCCGCTGCACAGCCCAGGAAATCACATGAACAAGGGTAGCGTGGGTCGTGGGTTCGGGGTGACGATGGGTTTACTCGTACTCGTAAGGCCGTATACTCGTATCTGAAAAGGAAAGAGTGATAATCCAAGAGACAGAAAGGAAGATTGCCTAGTCGATTGTCTTTGTTGGTTTGAGGAAGAGAGGAGGGAGGGGAAGATGGGAAGATGGGAATCCAGTTACACGTAGAGAATTCATGATACAGACAAGGTGACAAAAATGGTTGGCGCCCTCCTGAAGCGACGACGACGCCAGACAAGTGCCACGACAGCAGCTATCCAAAAAGGGTTTAGTGTATTCAGCGTCATCCAGCTGAGTCATCTATCGATGAGGGTCCAGATATGGCCCCGCTAAAAAGTTTCCAACACTCGATGGTGAGTTTTATCCTCAGCATCGCCAGAAGAAATAAAAAAAAGCCGTTTATTTTCTTCTTCTTCTTTTTCTCTCTGCTGCTAACCTCTCTCTCTTGCCTCTCTTTCTATCTCGTAACAAACACGAGGGTGATAAGAGAAGGATCAGACAGACAAACAATGGCAGCACCGGCCTCATTGTCGGCACTGCTCGACTCCCTCACCCAATCCCTAGCATCAGCTCAGGACATCACCCCCCAGATTGCATCCATCGGCCACCAGAAGCAAGGCATCTCGCTCCTCGACGTCAAGAACGAGCTTCTCCTATCATACCTCCAGAACCTCGTCTTCCTAATCCTTCTCAAGCTGCGCAACTCCAAGGGCGACGACAATGGCAAGACCGACGACGGAGATCGGATCGACGAGGCCGTCCGCACGAAACTAGTCGAACTCCGCCTGTATCTGGAGAAGGGCGCACGTCCCCTCGAGGAGAAGCTACGGTATTCGATCGAGAGCTTCCTCACACGGGCGCGCGAGTCGCAGAGCAAGGATGAGGTCGGCAAGAAGGGCAAGAAGACTAAGAGCAGCCGCACGGGCTCCGAGTCGGACGAATCCGAGTCAGACTCCGAGTCGGAGGACGAGTCGGAGGAGGAAGACGACGACGCAGACAACAGCGACATCGAGGGCTCCGTGGTGGACGGGCCCCCCAAGCCCAAGAAGATACCCTCGGGCGGCAAGCGCTCCACCGGCGCGCCCGCCCTGGCCGGCTTGGCCGAGGACAAGTCGGTACGCCCCACGCGCGGCGTCAGTGACGCCCCCGACGGCGTGTACCGCCCCCCCAAGCGCGAGCGCCATGTCATGGACAAGCCCGCGTCGCAGCGCGAGAAGCGCAACGAGGGCCGCGCCGCCCACTCCCGCACAATGGACGAGTTCGTCGCCTCCGAGCTGTCGGCCGCCCCGCAGGCCGAGCCCAGCATCGGCACCACCATCGTCCAGGGTGGCCGCAAGGTCAAGACGTCCTTCGACCGCGAGAAGGAGGCCGAGCGCCAGTCGTACGAAGAGTCCAACTTTGTCCGCCTGCCCAAGGAGAACAAGAAGGACCGCGCCCGCAAGAACCGCGAGGCCGCCGCCCGCAGCTCCATGTCCTTTGGCGGCGAGGAGTGGCACGACCTCGGCGAGGGCGTCAGTCGCATCGACCGCCTCACCAGGCGCAAGGACGGCGGCGGCCGCGCCTCCAACGTCCGCTCCATGCTCGACAAGAGCCGCAAGAGGGGCGCTGCCGACGCCCCAGACGGCCCCAGGGGCTCCGGGGACGTCATGGGCGGAGAACGGTTCCAGAAGAGGGTCAGGCTCGAGGAGGCTGGCAGGCGCGACAGGGGCAAGAAGAGGTAAACTGGGAAGCACATCGTACGGAGGACTCTGCTTTTTAGCAGTCCTCGGAACGTCGTGTAGAGGGGCGTCGGAAAAAGAAACAAAAAGAAATGAAAAGTTTGGATGATGCAGGGATTTTATACTTCTTTCCTCTCCCTTAAACATTATATGTAAGGTATCATACGGACGGTTGAATATCAAATGTACACACACGCGCGCACACACACTACCACAAATGAAGCTGCCTCGAGCTAGAATCAGTCCTGCCTCTTGACATGACACGAGCAGCAATTGGCGACGAATATACATAGGCAACTTGACAAAAGAAGAATACGGCAGGGAATGTCCAATCGTCATACTGCTCTTCGTCGCCCGTCTCCTCTTCTACATGATCTCGCGTGAAGGAAACCCCAGTCCTACCCGCTGCTCTCTCAAAAGTCCGGCTGGTTTCTATTCCTTGTCGTGCCATCTTCCTGGTCGGGTCTTCCTCCGTTCTGGATTATACCCCCTATACCAGAAACATCGGAACAAGGCCACGCCTGCTCCGGTTGGACTCTTGATCGGGGCGTTCGCGTAGTTGTGGTTGTAGCTGAGTTTATAAACCAATATCCCAAGCCTCAGCGGCATTCTATCTTGAAAAGATCATGGTAAAAAGTCACCGATAGATGGATACACTATCTAGTTCACCTTGTTGTACATATCTCGCCCTCCATCTCCTCCTCGTCTCTCTGTCCGAACGAGACGCTGTGTACGAAGAACGCTCTCCGATCCACCCCATCTGGGACAGGGCCGGCACATCTAGCACATGTTTTCCCCATCATCTAGGAGGGTCCGGGGCAGTATTGCTGCTGAAGAGAAGAAAAAAAAGAAAGAAAGAAAGAAAACTCCTAGTCGGAATTGTAGATGAGTCCTGCCTGTTACAACGACAGTGGTGAGGCGGACACAGGCTGGTGCGTGTATGCGTAGTGCGTCCAGAGAAACAGCATGAGGCTCCCGATCAGGATCAGGGTGGCAAGATATGTGCTGCGTCTCTCCTCGACGTCGATGGGGCGCATGCCACGCGTAGCCCTCATGACCAGGTCGTGCACGCACTGGTCCTGCGCTTGCGTTATCACTCTTGGGTTAGATAAGAGATCTCCAGCTACGGGAGAGGAATCGTGGGTGCTTGCATCCAGGTTGCTTGCAGCAAGCTCGAACGGCGCCAGGCCGCACCCTGTGCGCCTCACCAGGTTCGCTCCGTGCTTCGTGAGGAGTCGGAGCGCTTCGACGTCGGCCATGTCGACGGCGTAGAGGGCAGCTGTGCAGCCTAGCCCATCCTCGACCTCGACACCCAGCCTGTGCTCCAGATACCGCTCCAGACACCGGCGCTCATTCTTGACGGCCTCGATGAAGGGGGAGCCCAGCAGCTTCTCGCTCCAGGTACGTGGCCTCTGGCCGTCTCGGCGGCCTTGGCCGTGGTCCAGCAGGATCTGGTGGATGGGGTGGTGAGCCACGTCCCAGTACGTGGCAACCATGAGGGCGTCCATGTCCTCTTCGGACTTGTTGGCGGAAGGTGCCATCTTGCCATCGACGCCCTGGCCGTCACGAATGAAGCCCCACCGTTGGATGAGCTCGTCCAGGACGGAGGTGCAGATCTGATTGCCCGTCAAGTAGTGCTCCGTCTGATCCAGCTTGGCCCCCCGTTTCATGAGAGCCATGACGATGTCGATATTTCCCGAGCGAGCGGCACGCTGTCGTATGTAAGCCATGTCTTCGTCGTTGTTTCCGTATGTCTCATCCAGATCGATGCCCGATTCGATGAACGGCCTGGCCATATCCAGCGTGCCGTAGGAGCAGATGGTATGCATAAAGGTGACTCGGTCCTGCGGTGTCGCGTCCATGATCCATCTCGTCTGCTCTTCCGGGGTCAACTCGATCATCCGGTCAAAGTGGGGGCGCATATCTGATGATATGGATCTCGGCGTGCGCATATCTCTCGTCTCAGCATCCAGACGGCTACAGACCTCCCGCCTGGACCTGGCTATGGAGGACACGAGCAACCTGTCGATGTCGACAAAGTTTTGGAAGACAACGATGTTTATGCGGCTGTAGAGCATGTCTTCGAGAAAGCCTGACCCGTGCTCTGATTTGAAAATGAGGGAGCAGGGTGTCTGCCCTTCCTTGTCTCGAGAACTGATATCGGCGCCGTTCTTTATGAGAAAGGCGGCCATGGGGACCATGCGTTCGCACATCGTGCGACTCCGAGACATACTCTTGGCACAGTGTAACAAGGTGGTTCTTGGAGAGGTTAGACATTGGATGTTAGCCGGCATGATCAGAGATGGCATGTAATCATCACTGGAACTTGTAAAAGTCGTATGTGATATTACCGTCTAGTGTTCTGGCTGAAGACGTCGGTGACGCTGGCTTGCACCATGAGCATCTCACATATTTCTATCGGATTCGGCACTCCAGATGAGTGCTGTATCACTGCTTCCTTCAACGTATCGATGTCTCATCAGTATCCGGGTCCGGTTTCGAGAAAGACTTCCGGCTCGGGGACGATTCAGGGTAGCGGCCTCTCACATGCAACAATGTGTGCCCGTGTGGCGCGATCAGGTCATCTGGACGTGCACGGCCAGCTGTCATGAGACTTCGCAGTCCTTCAGCATCTCCGTTGGCCATGCAGCGCGTCACCTCGGGATCCGAGTTCCAGAGGTGCACCTTTCGGGTATTGGTGAGGAGGTAAGCGGAAGACCATTTCAGCATGAGGTGGAACACGCGATCGGTCAACTGCGGAAGAGGGAACATGATGAAGTCGTAGTCCCAGTCCGGCTTCCTCTCGGTCTTGTGGTAGCGCTCGGTAGTCGTCTGTCTCGTCTTCTTGGCGATGTGAATCGTTCCAAGTGGAAGTTGGTAGCTAGAGACTGAGCAGCTGAGAGTATACCTGACCTTGGGGCCGTATCTCGAATCTTGTATCGACGGGAGATGTGCTAGGTCAGGGACGATGACATGGATGTTTCCTGTCCAGCCATGCTGTCACCGGCGGCAGCAGGTGTCACTCTCAGCACGGCCGATGGCTGCTGCAGAGCACCTCGGATAAGCATCTGTGCACTCTTCTCATCAGAGGAGAGCTCACCCGACAACTTGGAAAATTTCCCGTACACCGACTCAGTGGTGATGGCCTCCTCTGCCGCGCGGTCGTTGACGAGTCCGAAGGCGTAGTTGTGTGTGTGGTGATGGTGACTCTATGTACACGGCGGTGAGCACCTGCATCCTTGTCTTCTGCAGTAGCATCCCAACACCTTGCCTGTGAGCACAGGTTGGTCAGCTGTTCTACCTTCGGATACCGAAAAGGGAAGACAGTGGAAGGGAAAGCTTGGACCGAGTACCGAGTGATGTCAGCCAGTATATGAGACTCAATGCCTCCCGATGGTGCGAGAACTGAACCTCGTAGTCTCCCATCTCGTCTTCGGAAAGGTACATGCGAAGCCTCCCCGCCATCTGTTTCATTCTCGAAGCATCTTGGGCGAGAGACGACTGCAGCCTGTCCAGCTTGTCGTTGAAAATATCGATGTCGCGGCCGACGTCTTCGATCTGGGAGCACCAAATCTTTCTGATTTCATGGCTCACGTCGTACTCCTGGTCCGGGCTCAGACTGGCGATGGTTTCGATGATATTCTGGAGCCGGACGGTAGCCTTGCGTAGTCGCTCGTATTCCCGCGGTGCCTTTCTGAAGCTGTGGCCGATTTCTCGGATAGGTTTGGTAGACCTGACAGCCAGTCTAGCGATGGCGATGGCGCTTGAGACGGCCCCCAGGATCTCCATCCCGCTAGTTTGGCCTCGTCTGGGTCGGGAGAGTTCCTCCCTTTCCCTTCCTCTCTTGGTCTGGGTATTCCTGATCTGATGTCGAGGGTGTTCTCTGTCTCTTCGAGCAAGTCCAAGTCACGCACTGACTTGCAGAAAGGTTGGGCTGGATTGTGAGCGTCCACATAATAAGAATATGTATTCCGCATCATTTTAGTTCCTGTTTATTCCCATCGCCCTTGGCAGCCACGGAACATGCACATGTGGCCGACAGGGCTGACAGCACAAAGCATCCAGCTCCGGATTGATGTATTGCTCTGTACATCATGCCGTCGGCATACCAACCTCGGTTCTAGGTCCCTTCCCGCCTTCCAGCTTAGCCTCCATTCTCTCTCTCTCTCTCTCTCTCTCTCTATCTATATACCTATCTTCAAAAGTGTACATTGAGCTGGTACGAGTACATGCGTGTGACTGCCATCATAATATGAACATGACACATCAGCAGAATGCAAGGCTGGCTACATGGCTGAACGGCGCAGCACACATCGTTCTGTCACTCTCGTTGCGTGGGAAGATAGGGTTTCACGGTTCGCGGACCATGATCGGGACAACACTTCCATACGATACATGGAATCACATAATTACGTCTCAGATACGTCCCGCTACCCTCCATCTGCATGTAAGCTGTACAAGTGACAGTCGCGTCACGATGATTGGTTCGGAACAGGATTGAGCTACGGTATTCGTGATCAACCCTTATAGCCTCATCCATGAGGGGCGTGTCTCGCACACGTATAAACATGCAAGCCCATCTTCTCTTCTTCGTATATCCTCTCCCCTCCCGATGATCTGGTTCAGTCCAGGTCCATGGATACGCATTCTGAAAAAGGAAGACGAGATATCCTTCCCTACACACATACTCATTCCGTACATGTAGCCACGGATGACCGGTCCACCAAACCGGCGAGAATGGGTCCCGAAATCTATCTCCAGCTGACTGCTGTCCTGGTCGCCCTCTTGGCCGTCGTTGCCCCACTTCCTCTTCCGATCCGAACGAGCGAAATCCATCTCGGGCACAGTCCCCCGCATATCCCACCAGTCGGACGGGAACGACAACAGCCTACACGACCAGGAGAAGGGTACCGAGCCAGCTCGCGACATACCCGCCTCCGTCCTAGAATCGGGGGACACCATCGAGCGAGGCCAATGGGTCCGCAGGATTACCGGCTACGTCCAGGTGGGGAGGTACGGGAGCCGTCACAATGTGCTGACTGTCAACACCGAACTAGAGTACTATCTCAATGCAGAGAACTGCGTCGAGGCCACGTACCACACCTGGACTGATGGGTTAGGCACAAGGAAGAAATATCGAACAGTGGTGTTCGGGAAGGGGTCGCTGGTGAATTTTGGGGACGGGGCTATAACAACTGGTGCTTTATGGGGGGATCTGAAAGGACTGGGGTGTACAGTGTCGAGTTTCGTTCCGTTACATAGACCGGTATGCAGTTCAGACCCTCTCTCACACTCCAACGGGGGCCGTTCTCTACAGGTAACATCACGTCGTACGGAAAAGTCGGTATGGCTCTCGGATCTAGACCAGCCCAGTGTGAGCGTGTCGACCAGGATTGCGATCCTTTCATGCAGCGGCGCGAGCGGCCTTTCAAGAAGCTGTCAGATGAAAATCTAGGGATTTTCTTATCCAACATGCCAACAAGCCCATGTCCGAGGCAGTGAATCCAGAAACGTCGAAGGAGATCATCTGGGTTATCCGGATGGATGGGTTAGGGTTTCGCGTCGTAGGGTTTAGGCTTAATTAGTCGGACCAGAAATGATGGCTTGATACGACGACAGGAACAGGAACAGGGACACATAAGCATGTATTATTTATTATCCATGAAAAAAAGAGAGTCCAGGACAGAATGCCTTCTATCTGCCGAGAGGAGACTGTGATCAACAAACGTACAGGTCCCAACAATTGACCGTTCTGCCTATCTCATCGTAACCGTAAACTCCCAGAAACCATTTGTCGTCTTAGACAACACTAGCTGCACCACCACCATAGATGATTCCCATCCTTTCCAAAGAATACGTATTCACCGTATCCATACACAGTTTCACGTTCCCTTTTTTTTTCACTGTATAGCGTGAGAAGGTAGATGCACACGCCCAAAGAACCACCTGACAGGACCATCGTGAGCAGAGCTACCATGGTACACTCCGAGACAGTGACCGGACCTTGGGGCGGACAGTTGATGGGCACGCCGTCAGCACAGTGGCAGTTACCGTCGTGCTGCATCTCTCTTGGAATATGCATCCTGAACTTTTTGCCTTGGGGAATCTCCGGTAGGTATCCGATGACCGGTGACTTATTTGAAAAAGTACTCGCGTCGGTAGCTATGGTTGTGTGTGTTTGGTGGATAGTAAGCATCCGTCACAATGGGAGAGAGATTCTCCGATATGTAAGTAGATGAATGGATAGATTCAAGGTATCCCAAGGCTTTTAATGCCTCTACTGGAATATCTCTTGGATTCACGTCACTCCAAGTTTGCAGCCTGGGTAAAGGTCGTCTGCTCACGACGTGCAAGGCATCTCGGGTGAAACAATGCGTATATGCATATGCCGCCGCGGCCGGAAGGTCACATATCGTAGTATAGTACCCGCATCCAAATGTGGCAGGAATCCCGACCTATAACACAACTTGTCTGTCAACAACCCCCAAGTCCCTCTCCAGAACCCATATTCGATCAGAACAATATCGAATTCTATATACCAAGACACCCAAGATCCAGCACCCCTGTCTCCCCCCACTTACACGCCCTGGCACCTGTTTTCAGCCCTGTGGGTCCGATGTGTGTTATCACTGTTATGTCAGTCCCGATAAGAAAGATTCATGATAAGAGATAAGATAAGATTTTTTTTTTTTGGGAGGTCGTGCCCCACCACCTCAATTGACCTTGAACCGAAACTTTCATGATAACCAAGCTTTCGAGACTCTTTGTCTGCCCAAGTTTCAAACAGTCGCACTCAGCCGTTCCTTCTCTGTTTTTCCTTAATCGCCCAAAGAATGCGGGCACAGAATGTCTAACTCTTCAAGATCGGAAGGGATGGACCTCGACCAGGCGGCACCAGACGAGCAGCGCCCACCGGTAGCGCCAGCCAACCCCGCCAAGGGCAGTGTCCCCCACGACGACGTCGGCGACGACGACGACGACGACGACGACCCCATCACAGCCACATACCCCGTCTTCCTGAACCCTTCACTCCCGTTCGGCCGACGCCTTCTGGTCCTTCAGCACCCGAACCGCACAGATGAGCAGCCGCGGCCGCCGCCGACGGAGCTCCGCCTCAAGGCCCGCACGGGCATGGTAGAGGTGGACATGCCGCTGGACAGCTCGCCGGGCGTGTATGATCGTGAGAAGGGCGTGCGGTGGGGCCGGTCGCTCAACGCGTCCATGACGGCCAAGAACGGCGGCAGCCACGGACTGGCGGGCGGCTTCGGCTTCGGCGCTGTGCAGCAGCGGGGGGGCGCCGGCAGGAGGAAGTCGGACGCCCTGGACGATGACGACGACGATGTCACCATCGACTGGAATGAGGCGGTGCGCCAGGGCAAAGCGCTCACCACGCAGACCTTGGGAGGGCAGTACCCAGAGGTCAATGACGTGCAGTACATGGTTGGCGTGTTTCAAGGAAGTGCGTTTTCCAATCCCCTCCTATAGATCAACAATAGCCCATCCTACAAAGAGTTTTTTTTTTTTTTAAAAAAAAAAAAGAAGAGAAAGAGAGAAAAAAACTGACTTGGATGACAAACAGAAAACCTACACCTCACACCCGCCTCGTCCCTCGTCCACCTCCGCCCGCAGCTACACCACATAGACGCCTCTACGCAACTCGAGCGCCGCACAGCGGGGGGCGACTCGGGCGGAGCCGGTGCGGGCGCAGGCGGCGTTTCGGGCGCCTCCGGCGCTGCCGGCGCCAGCGCCAAGGCGATCCACATGACCGTCAAGACGACGTCAGACACCGACGGTGTCAGCACAGAGACCATGGCCGACCGCCTCCGCGCCGCCCAGTCTGAGCACTGGCGCAAGCTCCGCTACACCGACGAGAATGACGAGGCAGCGTGGGAAGTCTACAACGAGTCCCTCTTCCTCCAACCCAAGGAACCCATCATCCCAGCCGCCACCGTCAGCAGTACAGAGAAGGGCAAGGGTAAGGAAAAAGAAAATGGTGAAGGCAAGGGAGGAGGAGGAGAAGAAGAAGAAGAAGATGAGGTGGTCAATGATGAGGTGCCCATCCTGGAAGGTCACGTCCCCAACCTCGTCTCCAGGTGGGAAGACGAACAGCTCCTCGAGGCCGTGAGCGGGATACGCAAGAGGAAGGACGACGACGAGGCCGACGTGGCCGCAGAAGTGAAGACCGACCCCGAGGCCAGGCGTCAGGCTGCCTCTGCCGCCGCCGCCGCCGCGAGGGCCCAGCAGCTCGCTGCCGAACAGGCTGCCAGGTCGGCCTCCAGACCTACCAGACCCAGAGGGGGTGCTGCCGCCGGCGCAAGGAGAGGGGCGCGTAAGGCTTGAGGCTCAACATGATATATACCAACGTGGAAAGAAGAATTAAATTAAACCCATAAATGAATTCAATCAAATTAAAAGAAGAAGAAGAAGAAGAGCATAGAAGAAGGAGGGGGTATAGTTTTATGTATTTGATTTATCCAAAGGGGGGTTGGGGTTGGGGTTGGGGTTGGGGTTAAATCCATACGCATGGAATGGTAGATGTACCTGGCTTTATTATATCCCCCCCCCCCCTCCCTTCACAGCATCATTCATCACAGCGGCGCAAATCTGGTGCATCTTTCTTCGATATTCGTTTTCCATCTCTTTTGACTCCCACGTCACTGCTGCCCATGGTGGATCGAGTATTACTTTATTTTTAATGCCACCTCGATTAAAAAAAAATGATGCCGTGCACGCGTGGAAAGATGACTCCCGATACTTTTTCTACTTCATTTTTTCGTAAGGCAACTAAGACCTCAGCCATCATCGTCAATCCAGCACATGGTCCCGCGGCGGGAATAAAAATAATACCCTTCGGGACCCTCGTTTCCTTGCTTTTCCTTGCGTTACCGGAAATTTGCGTTAAGTGAATGGGTCGTAATGATATAGTATGGTACCAGGTACATGGTCAGAATGTTCAGCAGCCGTGAGAAACTCCCCGGCCCGAGCATATTGTACAGCACAGCACCCCTTAATATTCCCAGGCCAAGCAGAGAAGGCAAGAAAAGAGATGATCATGATAAGAAGGATCCTTTCCATCGTTGTGTGCGTGTGTCTGTTCATAGCCACTAGAGACTACCCGCAAGCCTCAAGCGTATACAACACACCAACTCGAAGAGCCTTGTCCCCATGGAGTCTTTTTTTTATTGTTCAAAGGATATGGTAAAAGATAAAAAGAGGACAAGCCAAAAGAGGAGGGAAGAGAAACAGTAAGACAGAAATCGGGAGAAATGTGCCGCCTTTGCTCGGAGGAATCATGGGGAGGAGTTGTGTAGGTAGAGCGTTGCTTCTTTCTTACTGAAGTAGCTCGACATCGAGTCCGATGGCACGCATAAACAGATTGACGCTTCCGAGACGTTCGCTAGCCATGGCGGCAGGGAGAGTCTTGGAGAGCTGGACTGTGTCGAGGACGCGGTCCTTGACGGCCAGCACGAGCCTCGTCTGCTGGTCGTGGTTGGCGCTGACACCCATGGCAGCGAGGAGCTGCCAGACGTAGACGTCTTCGCCCGTGTTGACGCTGCCGGGAAAGATGTTGGGCAGGGACGGCTCGAGCTTGTTGAACAAGGTCTCAAAGGTGTGGTCCCTGGAGGGTAGAGTGTCAGCATGCTGTTTACTTGATGGGGAGTGTACATGGCGAGACGGGTGCGTGCTACTCACCACTTCTCCCACTGCTCGGGGCCGCCGGCACCGTTCTGCTTCAGGAGGACGGCGCGGCTGAGAATCAGTGTGAGCATGGAAACGCCGATCCTCGTCTTGGCAATCATGTCGACGTTGAGCTTCATGGCAAAGAGGTTCAGAAGACCGTCGACGATGTCTAGACCAGTGTCGCCAAAGTACTGCATGAGAGAAGGCATGACGGCTGAGACGAAGAGCTCGATGTTCTCGCGCATCCTCGAGTTGAGCGTCGTGTCTGAGCCCGTGACGGCGCCCTGGACCACGTCGAGCTGGTCGAGGTGGTAGATGATCAGGGTCAGGATAGTGGTGCGCTTCTCGAAGTCGAGGTGGGGAAAGATGCGAGGGATCGCCTTCTTGCCCTTGGCGCACGAGAGGAAGGCGATGAAGGGGTGGGGGACGACGACGTCGACGGGGTGGTGGACCTGCAGCTGGTCCCAGAGCTGAGCGAGGTAGCCATCCAGGGTAGCCTTCCACTCCACGTGGCTCCTCTGAAGCTCCTCATCCATGACCTCAGTCGGGGGCGGGGGTATGAGGCGAACGTGGTCCTCGATCTTCATGAGCGTGGTGTAGACCTTTTCGACGTTGCGGAGGACGGATCGACGGTCCAGGCCGGCAGTCGTCGCCTTCTTGGCGCCGTGCGGACGGGGCGACTCGTTCTCGGTACGCTTGATGTTGAGGAGGGGCTTGGGCGTCTTGGCGTTGCTGAACGAGATCTTGCCCAGGCTACCCTCGATGACGAGCTGCGGGTTCTTGGGCTTGTTCTTGGCCGCCTCGACGGCTCGCTGTACCTGCTGCTCCATGCGCTGGAAGTGGTTCTCGGCTGGTCGTCCCTGACGACGCATGCCACCATGACGACTTCCCGTCTGGAAGAGGTACGTCTGAGCAAAGTTGCTCAGAGGCTGGCTAGGGTTCTGGCGGTGGCCGGCGCGGATGTGGCTGTAAACCTGGTAATAGAAGTCCTCGGCCAGCGCGGCATCCGTGTTCTGCTCCGTGGGGTTTCCAGTGGCCGACACCAGCTGCTGGAGCTGGATGCGGGTGATGAAGTTCTTGTCCTGGGGCGTCATGAGGCCGTTGTCCTTGGAGAGAAGCCAGATCTTGTGGTTGCGCTTAGCCCTCTTGGTCTCTTGGTCCATAAGGGCCAGCTTCTCCTCGTCAGACATCTGGCTGAGGTGAGGGTGAGCCTGGAGCTGCGCGATCCCGGACAAGACACCTTGAGACAGGTTCGCCTGGTGGCCAGCTCGCGTCGCATCGCCGGACATGCGGTTGGGATTCTGGAGTATCTGTGTCGGGTGGACGGCAGGAGCGAGGGGCTGATCATGGCGGGGTTGAGGAGGCGGGATGGCCTGAGCAGCGGGCGTCGCCTTGGGCTGCTGGATACTCTGGGGTCTCTGCAGGATAGTGACCGGTTGCCCGTGCTGCTGCTGAGTCTTCTGCTTTTGAGCCTGTTGTTGCTGAGCCTGCTGCTGCTGCTGCTGCTGAGCCTGCTGCTGCTGGAAGTGCTGCTGCTGTTCTTGAATCTGCTGGAGTTGCTGGAACTGGTAGGCGGGGTGAACCTGGCCGTAAGGCACCTCAGCAGGCATCTGAGGTGGGAACGGCTGAGGAGCCTGGGCAGGGGTCGCGGACTTTTGGCGCATGGCAGCCTCGACCTCTTCCAGGCTCAAGACCTTCCTCGACCCGGAGGGCTGGCTCGGGTGGGCCGGGGCAGGTTCAGCCTGGGGGGCCGTCTTGGCGGGTCCGATCCCCCAGATGCTGCGGTCGACGTTGAGGTCAGGCATCGGCTCTGCCTCCTTGTACTTCTCGTAGCCCGTACGTGCGGGGCGGTAGCTCGGCTGCGTAGGCTGGGCGCTGTAGTAGCTGCCTTGGGGCTGAGGCTGGACCTGAGGCTGGACCGGGTAGGAAGTCACCCTCGACGTGGGCTGCTGGCGTTCGAAGCGAAGCTGTTCCTCCTCGATGGCACCGGACACCTTAGCTGTCTGGCCAAAGAAGTCAAAGTCCTTGCCAACCTTGCCGGACGACGGGAGCTGGTGGCTGCTGGCGGCAGCCGCACCACCTACATCTCCCCCTCCAAAGGTGTCATCGTTGAAGGCGTCGTCGGCGTCATCGAGCTGGTCGCCTAGGCCGTCGTAAGTGTCCTCGAACTCGAGGGCATCATCGACATCGGCATCCCGCCCGGAGAGACCGGCAAAGGGGTCATGGGCCTGGGAGAAGCCGGGCTTTGCCTTGTCGTGGCTCGTTGTGTCGAAGCCGAAGAATGACATGGTAATGGTAGGTGTGTGTTGTGAGTAACGATGCTTGTCGGTTTTGTTCTCCTTTGAAGATTGGCTATATTTTTTTTGTTCTTATTCGCTGATACTGTGACAAGAAGATGAGTCAGAAAAGGGTTTAAGCTATATTTCGAGAGATGGACGTTTGTGAAACGTTGGCGCGCCAATGGAGGAAAGACGCCACGTTTGTTGAGCTGGACATGGGGAGAGCACTGACCACTAGGTAGAGGAGAGATATCTATATGAGCACAAAACACTCGAAACTATCATCATGCCTCGGGACAGAAAGAGATGAACGGGGCTAGTGGTGACGACGACAGCATGCGCAAGGCTCCAGCGGGTGGGAGAGCGAAGCGAATGTTGGAAGTCAACCTAAAACTGGAAACAGAATGTAGGGGAACAAGGGTATGAGGCTTGTCCGTGGAGAAGAAAGAGAAGCGAAAGAGGTATGAAAGAGGTGCAGAAGAAAAAGAAGGCGAAGGAGAAGAGAAAGAAGGGAAAAGAGTAAGAAGAGGCGACACCACAGAGGTCGGCCACAGGACCCAAAGAGCGTCTTCTGCTGGGCTGTCTGGTGGCGATGCGTGGTGTGGTGACGGTGGTGAGGAAAATGCTCGGATGCGGGAGAGCTGGGTGGTGCGCGAGTGCCCGCCTTTGACTTCATCGCTCCTATTGGCCAGCCAGGGCCTCGAGGTACGTCACGTGACTCACCCGCGCACGATTGAATGCTTGACATTAATTGGACTCGATGATACCATCATTCTCCTTCTCCTCTGATACCACTGCATGTACTACATGCATACGACGATGTTACGAATTCTGCTTATTGCACACAAGTTGAATCATCACTCGGCTCTCTAATAACAGCCTGCATATAATATGAGCGATGTGCTACCTTGTCCCTCTACGCAACTGCAACTTCTTTCGCTAACCCCATCTCAGCATAGCATGTATGTATTGCCCGCCTTGTCCCTCGGTCCACCTCTGTAAGCCCTCTACGTTACCTAGGCGGTCCCCCCTGGCCTTGGACTATGCTTCTTGAAGTTTCATCGTGTTGTTTTTTTTTGTGAGCTATCACTTGGTCTCCCCTTGGTTCGAAACGCCCCCCCTAGAGAGGGGCGACCCATGACGCAGGGGGATACATATGATGGCGACTGCTGCTATGAGTGGCCAAACTGCCAACCCCCTCAACACCTGACGGCCGAGAGCATGTGGGGTTATCCGTGACAGAAAAGGATTGCCCAGAAGAGCTATGTGAGATGGGTAGACGGGTACCGTCAGACGTCACATGGCTGGCAATATATGCGAGGTTCCTGCGTGCGTCTCACATGGCGGTGGCTCTAGAAGGACTACATGTCAACCTTGGTCCTTGCATGCAGACATCGAAAATTAGCGGAATACTGATGCTACTCATCATTTCTCACAACTTCACCCAAACTGTCGGTATGGTCTGATGACTCCGAGGATGCAGATTCGGGACTCGGGATTTTGGAGTTTGCGCCCACCGGATGCTGCGTCTTCCTCGGGCAGGGAGTCTGGTCTCGGCCACCAGCTGCTTTCCCTTTCCGACGATCGCAAGGATCCAGCGACTCTGGATCCCAGCGTGGCTTCGGAGCGAGAGCCCGGTATCGCTCTCGTCCTGCTCTTACTCGGCAAGACCGGGAGCATCAGAGTCGTCAAGGACCGAGTGCGAGTACATAGCTGGCATGGACTTGGGCGCATTCTCCCTCACGGGCTCTTCGCGGCATAGCTATGCCCGAGATTACAGGGTCACGCAACGATCTGCTTCACCGTAGCGTTTCCTGTGATGATGGAAGAAAGTGCCTTGCCCTCGACGCGTTTCGATCGATGAGCGTCGAGCAAGTCGTGGCGGGCATCGAACAAGGCAAGGTTTCCCCTGAAACCCCACCGGGCCAATTTTCAGGACCGCTCATTCATGATCTTCACGATGATCGAGGCAGTTGTATGAAAGAGATGTCGGCAGATGGGCCCTGCTCCTCTTAAGAGTTCTCGTGGGGATAACGAGCTTCCGACGACAGGTCTGAGGGAAGTTGCAGTTGGTCATTCAAACTTGTAGGAGGCGGCAAGGTGGATGTACTTGTATCAAAGAACCCGCAGCAAGGCACTTTATGAATGAGAAGAGGAAAACGGAAGAGGAAAACAATGTAAGAGATTGGAGAGAGAGAAGATAGTGTACAGATGTCGTCGAGAACTGGAAGTGTGGAAGCTTTGCTCGAAGCTGTCAGCTGCGAAAGCCGAGCGGCAATGTGACGGGCCGGTACTCGAGGGTGCAGAGGAGCTTCAGCAGCACAACAAGGTAAAGGAAAAGAGGGAACAGAGTAACCAAAGCCTGCATATAGACGCATTGTCGTCTTAACCCTGATGTACATCGAATACTGATACTGAGCACAGCAAGTAACGCTAGCCGCGACACCTGGGCAGACCCATCTCGAGGACCTGTCATTACGCGATCACCCGCGACCGATCAAGGGTGTCCCCCCTTGCAAGCGGTTCTGTTTACGATTTCCCCGCACTTGGGATGATGACCCCCACGAGTTCATCGTCGAGTATCGACAAGGCCGAGCTATCTGTTGCCTATCTTCCTGTGTAGACGAAGTAATAATAGACAATCGGTCTTCCAGCATTTTTAAGGATACGGCATCACATCCCAACTGAGCAATGTCATCGCCGCACAGAGAGTGCTACTGTCTAATTTGAAGCGCAAAGATTCTTGAGGATATTTCAGGATTGAGAAAGAAAAGGGAAACCTCCCCTGTTTGTTTTGTTTTCAATCATGTCACTGTCACTGCGCTAACTCCTCGAGGCTTTCCTGGGGAACCGGTGGTCGGTTGTTGATGAAAACAAAGGGGGAGGGGGGAGGGCTTTGCCATGCGCTCACTTATCGTCACAGACGACTCTTCACTTCCTTTCATTTCAAAAGGGGCATATATAAGTCCATCACACAATAACGATGAATGAAAACGGAAAAAAAAAAAAAAGAAGAAGAAAAGACGATTCATCACCAAAAAAAAAAAAAAAACACAAGATCGGTAAGGCATATCACACGACCTGGATGACAACCATGCGAGCGCGAATGTTGGCCTTGCGGCGGTAATCCTCCATCTCGGCACTGATGAGCTTAGCCTTGCCTCTGTTGACGAGGCTCTCGATCTTGGCCTCGTAGCCACCTGACACATAGATGCTACCCAGGATCGTGGCGACGATGTAACCGCCCGGCTTGACGATGCGGACGAACTCGTCAAGCACGACGGGGCCGACGTGGGCCTGGGTGAGGGTGCCGACGCAGCAGACCACGTCGTAGCGGTCGTCGTCGTGGACGAGGCGCGTCGACAGGTCGGCCGTGTCCAGGTGGCGGTACACGCCGGCCTTGCGGGCAACGTCCAGCATGCCGGGGCTGAGATCGACGCCGTCGACCTTGCGGGCGCCCAGCCGGGACAGGGCAATGCCGGCCAGGCCGGTGCCGCAGCCGGCGTCTAGGATCTCGACATCGGGTCCGATCTCCTCGGCCCCCAGGTGCTGGAGGATGTGGGCGGCTGCCAGGGCAGGACCGACGTAGTCCTCTTCTTCTCTGCTCATCTCGCTGTCGTAGGTGGACGCCCACTTGTCGTAGAGGTCCTTTGTGTCATTGGTACTGGTCAGGCTGTAGGCCTTGGCGAGTCGAGACATTGTGGAAGGTGCCGAGAGAGAGAGAGTATCTTTTGAAAAGAGTTTAGGAAAAAAAAAGGAAAGAAGAGGGGGTTTATAGTATGTGTATACAAGCTGGATTGAGAGAAGCGTAGGGGGGATGGAAGAAATCCAACAAAGAAACTGACGACAAGGAGGGCTATTTATCTTCGTTTCCTACTACTCGGGAAGCTTCCTACTCTCAGAGCAGCTCTCCTGCTCGGAAGGCAAGCCCAAGTGACTTCCTCCGGGCTACGTCACATACGTTCTACTCTGTGGAGCACGAGCATGGTGTTTTGAGCGTTGGTATTGGTGTTCTTCTCAGACAAGTCCTCCCGGCCGGGCAGTTTGACCAACAGGATGAGAGCGTATTCAGAAAGTGTATTGATTTTCCTCAGCATCTTTGTCCCGCAGTACCGCATTGCATACAGGACGGCCTCCTGTACTCTTCATTCGTCCACAGGGGGGCTTTTCCCTCAGATGGAAGACGTACACGAGAAAGCAGGTTGAGTCGAAGGGGGGGCGTCCCGCTTCAAGGCCGGTGGAGGACGGGCGAAGGGGGAAGGAGGTCGAGGTTAATTGGACCTGGCGGCCAGGGCGGCAAAGGACGGCCTTCGTCCATGTTCCCATGTCTTCGAGTTGAAAAGTCGGCCAACTTGACTTTCGCGCCATCCTCCCCGTGGGCGTGAACTGGTCTGCCAGGTTACTCTGAACAGACGACGGGACGGGATTGACACGCCTCTTCTCCCTCTCCCGCCCTCCATCGTGAAAGATACAGACGCGCCGTCGGGTTTGAGGGTGGAGTGGAGTTGCGGTACTTTGTACGAGAGAGAGAGAGAGAGAGTATACGTAGTAAGTAGATACACAGCCCTCTTCACCCTCCCCCCCCCC